GTGCAGCGCTGATATCACAGATCACAGTTCAATGGGATGTGTGAGCTGCACAATAGTTGCAAATGCTTTGTGTATTTCTCAAATCAACTAACGGCCTGACTGCATTTTGTCAATAGAGCTGAGAAGGTCATTCGCTCAACGCATCCCGCAGTAATTTCCATCTGATTATATTTTGTTTTGCTCTCAACACTATTGCCTCCGCTTGCCTATTTTGAATATTAAACCATTTGTGTAAAGAATCATCCCGAAAACTAATGTAATAGTCTCATTTCCCAGGTTTGCCCCTCCTGTGCCCCCAGCCTCCTTGTGCCTGTCACTGATGCATCTGTGTCCAATAGTATCTATAAATATCCCCCTCTCCCCTGGAAAAAAAAACTTGATTCACATTGATTTAGTGACCTACATACACATGAACCGCTCTTGCCTCTACTCCTTCTGTCGATGGTCCTCACTGTCTCCACCTCTTCATTTGTCCTGCCTCCATCATCTGCACAACTCACAGCTCTGCAGCTCTCCATCCTCCTGCTAAAACACAGGCTAAGAATAGTTCCTGTTCAAGTTATGACACAAGAAGAAGCCTTTTGAGAACAGTGCTTCTCAATCTTTGAAAGTGTTGTCATTGTGGTAAACTGAGCCCTGGGCAATGCTTCTGTGTGTAAACACTGGAGTAGATTGTCTACTGAAAGGAGACTCTTGGAGACTGCATGAGACAGATGTAAAACCATATCTGACAAAGACAGGCTTTTGGATCTGACTGAATGAATGGAGAGGGGTTATAGTGTTGTTGTGAAACTGCACCAAGATCCTAATGATCCTAATGCTATTAGGACTGATGCTGAACTCATAACAACCAGCCACAGATTAATAATAAATAAAGCTCTGTCACAACACCGTTTCTGCTGAAACGTGCAAGAACCATCCAGGATTTACAGACTCAGGGCTCAGGGGCAAATCCCCTGACACACATTTACATATGCTTAGCATGCAGGTGTAAATAATGTAGCCATCACCTGTGACTCTGACAACACACTGATGTTTGCATCAGATGCATCTCCGTGAGGGAAGCAGGTCCTCACAGGCAGGATTTAGTGCCTCCTCTCATCTCTGCGCACGCCTCACCTGAGACAGGAGCTCTAGCCCCACTCCCTGCACCGCACTGCAGTCTCCTGCGGCTCGACAGTGACACCGTGTGGCGGCTTTGCGCTACTACTGACAGGGCCCTGGGGAACTGCTCTTTATCACAACACAAACTAACCATTCACTGCATGTTAGAGATGAAAGGGACCATGGCAATTCTCTTGCTGTCACAATACCTATATATATATATGTATATATGAAAGCACAACTGCTGCGTATGTAAGACGTATGTAAAACAAAATACCCGCATGAGCCAGGATGAGGACAGTGAGTTTATTGAACAGCAAACTGTGACAGGGTACACAATATCTTGTCTATTACATTGTAAACAATGCCTTATACAGCTGTGACACTCATCAAATATTGTTTCCTTATAACATAGAAAATCATGTCTTGTGGACAACATGGAGGGGCCCTTGTTAAAGTGCAGCACTGCACAGTTCCTCTTGGAGGAAGAGAACAAAAGGCAGTAAGAAAACTTATCCCCAACAATACTAGGGAGCTTCCAGTTGCATTTTTCATGAAATGTAGCAATAATCAACAGGTGCTGTTCAATGTGTTTCCATGTGCTGTGTGTCGTGTTTCTATAGTGACTTATTGCATATCTGTGAGCTGGTTAATTCATATTTTCAGTCAATGTAAAGCACAAATCCTTCACTTAAATGTAATAAACTCTTCACTATAGTTATAATACATCTTATATCTAAGTACATTCTTGTATATCTGATTCATTGAGAATATGTAGGCAATATACATGTGATTACTGCAGACAGACACCACAAATGACCAGCTGTCTCAGCCCTTTTCAAAAATCATCCTCCAGTTCACACTATGCTTTAAAATAAGTGCCAGAATACATAGTCCCGATTGGTGCCTATAGTTCATTAGGGGACGTACAGGAGGGGGCTGAGTGTGCCACTTGTGCCTAAAACCCTTGTGCTTTCTTTGATTGTATATACTCTAAAGTCAGTCATTTGGTGTCCCTCTGCGACAGATGGAAAGGGAGAGAGAAAAGAGCATTGCACTGACAATCAGAGAAAAATACAGCTGTGCACAAAAACTACACGCCAAACTACAACACGAACACGCGCACTTACAAAAACCAAATACACCAGGTCAGCAGAAACAGCGACCGCAAAACATCTTTCACAGCACTTTTCAAGATTTAACCGAAATACAGAACAAATTTGAGAACAGAGAAGTCATATTCACACAATCAAAGCAATAATCTCACTGAAAAATAGGCAATATAATCACAATAACGGCATAAATGAGATGAACTGGCAATTACACAATCAGAAAAAAATTCAAAGAAAATGACTCATACAATATAGGCAGGACTTTTACCATTTCCTTATGGCTCAGTGGTCAATATCTAGAACGTTTGGGTGTCCCTTCTTGTCTATGGCTTTCACTGAAGACGCTGAGATTTGCAGATAGGATTCCTTGGGTACTATATTGCAGCTACCACATTTTATAAAAAGCACAATTCTAAGAGACAAATGTAGAATTTTTACTTCCAGTTGGCTTGTGTCGGGAATGGGGAGTAGCGCTAACGCATAAAGAAGAATTTGCCCATTCAATCTCATGCTTCATTTGGTCCACGGCCCTATAAAACCAACAAGCTGGCAGATGGATTGACAGCTTGGGAAGAAATGGCACGTCCAATAAAAAAATTCTGCATGTGTAGTAATCATCTGAAGTTAAAACTATTTATTTAGTAATTATTATATTTTATTTTTTTAAATCTAGGTGTGTTCACATGTGTTATGGGGGCCTGGAGAGGTAGGTGTGCAAATAAGCCATCACATATACAAAACAAACATTGAATCAAAAACAAAATACAACTTTCATAATGTCTGCATAATTTACAATATAGTTAAGGTGGACACTTTGACACAGAAAAAAAAAACACGGAGAAATAGTGCCGTAATGTATATATCGATAAATTAAGATTGATAAAAAAGATCTCACTCCCGGGAATGATAAAACAAGAGTTGCATTGACGACAGTGCAACAAAGTGGGAGTGAGGGAGGAATGTGATTGGACAGTGCACTTCAAAGTCACCTTGATCTCCGACAATGGCAGGGCTTTAAAAAGTGGTGCATAAACAAGATTCCACACATGGATTTTTTTGGAAACATAAAATCTGCACAGAAGACGTTTGGTCAATTCATAAAACACATCACGCTGGTTCCGTTTTGTGATGAAAATAAAAGGTCTTTAGCTCTTTGGGTTAGGGTTAGGCCATAGACTGTATATAGATGGACTATGCTAACCCCGTAGCTCAATGAAGCCCAATAGGGAAGTGCTCATGGACAAAGTTTTGCTATGAAGTTACATTGAAAAGCAGACTCCTCTAGCTCATTAACCGTTAGTGTCAAAATCACAACATTTTAGTTTAAGCAAGCTCTATGATCCTGGTGTTTATTTTTTTATATTGTCTTGTATTGTAAGGTCAGATCTGTGCCATATAAAAATTGACCAATCATATGGCTTCATTCGCAGGGAAAACATGTCTGCCCCTGTCATGGCGTAGAAATAATGCCCCTTAAAGACTCCAGCTAGCTACGGCTAACACTATGAGTGACATCAGAATAATATACAGTCTATGGGTCCCGTACTGAATTCAAGTTCTGACATAAAGGAAATTAAAGTGTATTCCGTGTAAACAATAAAAGTAGGATTAAGAACGACAGGGAAGTAGAATGCCGTGCAGAGATCAGGCATATCATGACTCTATAACACTTAACTATCTCCTGTCAGTTTGTGGCGGTAATGAGACAACAATATTCTTGCACTTGTCTATGGGCACAATGGTACGACTGATCCCAGTGGCTTCACAATGTCTGACGTCACTCTGGGGAGTTTGTCTTCAAATATCTACCTCCACTTTGATCACAAATAAAGCGGCAGCAGATGCTTTCAGCCGGTGAGCCCAAACCACAAAACTGACAGTGCTTTTGAACAACTTACTTTTGGCCTTGGTTCAATCGGTCACATCACAGCAGGACATTTATATCAAGCATCAAACGCTTCACCCCTGCTGGGACATCACTGAATACAGTATGAGCAGAAGTATTATGTCCATTTAAAACTTTTAAATTCAGTCAAGTACCGTTTGGTAATAAATATGAGAATGTTTAAAGTAGTGTTGGACTGAAGGTTATGCATGTCATTATAAAATCTTGTAAGCAAATAGCCAAACTGTAGTGTCCTTCTTTCCGGATGGATCCTGATCTAATTGAAAACACAGACATTTAAAGTCTTCTCAGTGCTTAACGGCAGCGACAGGAAGAGATGTGGCTTCTACGGAAGCACCAGAGGGACAACACATTCCCAGTACTTTGTCATAAGACACATTTTGCTTTCTACGTCTTTAAGGTCAGAGGGACTCAATATATAGATATGAAGTCATCTCATATTTTTAAATATGAGATATAAATATAATTTTCAAATTTAAGATAGTTACAATTAATATTATCTAGATCATCTTCTTCCTTAAGCTTAATGCTTTTCCATAAAAATAGGTTAAGTGTGCGTTGCTGCAGCAACCAAGGGCTACTGTGATAAAAACAATCATATTTGAACATCTTCATAAAGCAAATATTATCTTCTTAAAGCAAACTTCCTTTAAAATCAATAACTGGCTGTGTTCCAGAGAGGTAGGTGCTTCTGGAATGTGTGCCACAGACAGCTGGGCAGAAGCCTCCACCTTAAACATTTCTACATCGAACATAAGAAAATAAAATGAATTAAATGGTCACGTCTTGACCCAATTACTAGTAGTAAACTGAGATGACTCCTCCTTGTGCAGCCGACCATGTTGTATTATGGGAGAGGAAGGCAAAAAACCTGCTTCTTATTTGTCTTTCTTGGGCAAGAAGCTGAGGATATATTCACCAACACCCAGGAAGTAAATGACCTGAGCAATGCCGAACAGCGGCGCTATGACCAGCGCTCGACAGTAGGCGCCCTTCAGGAACGCTGTCGGACCCTCGTTCCGCATGATTTTACTGAAAGACAAATATTTAAAATAAGCACACAGACAGACAGTATGTGTGTGTGTGTTTGTGCATATCAGTGTGTGTGTGTGTGTGTGTGTGTATGTATTTGTGCGTATCAGTGTGTGTGCGTATGTGTGTGTATTTGTGCATATCAGTGTGTGTGCGTATGTGTGTGTATTTATGCGTATCAGTGTGTGTGTGTGTGTGTGTGTATGAGAGCAGAGGGACATAATGAGGTCACCTGATGCAGTCCCCGACTCCAGTGTACGTGTCTTCAGTGCTGCCTCGGGTCAGAGACTGCAGACGTGTTTTGATCACTGAAACAGAGCGCTCAGATGAGTTATATACATATATACATATACATATACATATATATATGTAATTAGGGCTGGGAGTCAATAAAAAAAAAATCTAATTAATTAGAGGCTTTGCAATTAATTAATGGCAATTAGTGAGAAGTAATTTTTTTCACATGGATTTTTACTTTACCATTGAATAATGACTGAATACATACGCTTAAGCAACACATGTTCATTGTGGATGATAAGGGCACCAGACGGACTTTATTCCCATCCAATAACGTTTCTGTCATTGTCTCCACAGACTCTGACCACAACATACACTTTTTAAGCCCAAAATACACTGCACTCGCAGTGAGCCCTAAAGCTGGGCATGCGCTGTTTGCTAAAGCTTTTATAATAAGTTTTTGATGTGTGCATTTGGACTAAACATCACCAATAGCAGCGCACACCTCTGTCTCGCTCCTCCTCCTCCGCCTCCTTCGCCTCCGCTCACACCGGCTCACACACAGGAGTCGCTCGCAGCTCCTCCTCCTCACACACATCGCTCCATACACAGCGCTCTTTCCCGTCTCTAACTCACTGAGATTTAAACACAGCTAAAGTTGGTCTGTGCTTGTAATAATGTACTTTTGAACCAAATACGGAGCTCCAGTTGGTGCTCCAGTACAATCGGTCCGTCTGAAACTCATCCAGTAAGGAACGTTACGCAGCGCAAAAACACATATGATTAAAATGCATCAATTTTTTTAACGAGCTAATTTTTGTGTAATTAATTCATCTTAATTAACGCGTTAAAGTCCCGGCCCTAATATGTACTGTATATATAAATACAGTATATATATATATATATATATATATATATATATATATATATATACTGTATTTATATATCAGCGAGTCGTGTCAATGCCAACAGACTTACCATCCACCGGGTTTACAGCCACCGCAGCTGTGCTCCCCGCCGCGCAGCCTGCCAGAAACGACACATAGAACGGAGCAGGTCCCTCGGCACCCCTCTTGCCCAACTGATTAAGGTTGGCAAAAAGTGGGAAATAGATGATGGAGAAGGGCACATCTCTGAAAGAATCAAATTGAGAACAGAATGTGAAAATCATGTCGACGGAACGGAGCCCCTGAATCATTATTATAGTAACTTGAAGCATCGATGCTAATGAGATACTATGACATTTAATCATTCAACCAACTAATTAGAAGTTAGGTTAGTTAGTTTTATTTATTTCAAACCTGCAGAACACAATTTCACATATCTTCACTAATACAGGTTTGAAAAGGTTAGACCAAAGATTGTACTTTATAGTCAACAATCAGCCTTTAATTACATATCTACTTTGGCCTAATTGTGGTTGAATCCAAACTGACAAGAACACAATATCCAAAATCCTGTCAAATATTTTTTTATAATTTATCAAAATACCAAAATAGGTAAGCAGAGCCACTTACCTCAGCAATGTGGCACTCAGGCCCTTGTACAAGCCGGCGATCCCCTTTTCATTTAGCAGCTGCCTGGTGAGCTGCATGGCGGTGGGGGACTTCTCCACTGTGCCCGCAGCCACCGTCTCTGGCATCAGCTTCCTCTGTGCAGCTGTGCAAATATAAGCATTGACCCATTAATGTTCGCTCCTTGAAGAAAGCAATGTCATTTTTTTATGTTGTATTTTCTAAGATGTAGGGGAACTTATATAACAACAATGTGTTTTTTAAATCTATATTTGTATTATATTCATAGGCCTCTACACAATGGTTGGAGATTAGGCTTGATGGTGGAAGAGCCAAAAAATACCAGTAATAGAGATGTCCCAAAGAGGTAGATTTATGTTCCATGCTTCAAGCTTCATAATGACTCAAAAAGCGATCCACCAAATGGTTGAGGAGACTATGAAAGGATTAACCGTCATTTGTTGTGAGAAATGCATCACGTTGAATTGAATTGAATGTTGTTTATTTGATTGGAGGCAGTGAATATGTCAAGCGCCGTCAAGAATGCCACCCAGATAGATGATACAATTATTGTATTAAGACAACTGATTGAGAGTCCATTAGCCTTATTCAATTTAAAACATAATCAAAACATTATTGCCACAGCCTCCTTTATGAAAACACTGGTATATCTGTCTTTTCTAAACTGTCTGTATTTTTGTTTTATGTGAGTCTTATCTTTCTATGTCTGTCTGTTTCTTATTTTAGTGTGGACCGAGAGTCTGAATGAAGAAATTAGGATGACACACACACACACACACACAAACACACACACAGACACACACACAAACACACACACACAGACACACACACAAACACCATGCATGTTCTTCAGTTTGTACAGGTTTGATGTGAGAGTATCCACAAAAGAGCAATAGTAGAACATAAGATAAACCACAGTATTTGCATGAGGTTGCGATTTGGAATTTCTTTTTCTAATAATTACAACTGAATTTCAAAACGGACTAAGCTTTCCTTTTTGTTTTTGAGTTAATAGAACAAAGAAAACGATATATTTTGTGATTTCAAAACGAACACTTGAGGCCGCTGTATATCCATGTTGCACTTGGCATTCTACTCTCTACCATCTGCAGTTCATTTCCTCTTACCGATACGCCCAGCATCTTGGAGCTGAATTTTCAACATCTCCATAGGAGTTGTTACTATAACCTAGAAAGAAACACAAGAAGGTTTTTAGAAATGATTCACGTAAGATTTTTTTTTTAAGATTTACTGACGTCACAAACAACAAACAAATACGTAAAATGTTGGATTACATTACAGTCTATGATCTAAATCTAATCTAATCTTAAATCCCCAGTATATGCGTGTGTGTGTGTGGGTGTGTGTGTTCATTCATGTAACAAAAGCGTGGTTTGGATTTAAATTCTCATAGTTTGACGTTTATATGTGTTTTATATGCATCTCTGTTTTAAAATAAATAATCAAATGAAATAGCGTCGTGTCCATGAGTATTCATAAACTCAACAAGCACTGCTTTGCATGTGCAGTCCACGGTAGTCACTTTTTAATTGGCTTAGAGGTGCCACAATCTTAATCCTTAGTCTGCTCGATTTAATCTCATCACATTTCTTGGTCTTGAAGCGGATGGCCGTATGAAAACAGACCTTTTCCCCTGACACAGCGTTAATATGACAGCCCTGTCTCATCTGAGGCCAGAGCAGCTGATCTCAGAGCTGCATAGAAAACACATGTGCGTATAATACAGGTTTAATAATGTGTAATTATGATAAATAATAATGTTCGCTCTAGTTCATTACGTGCTGAGTGCTATTAAAGCTTCTCCATTAGTGGTCATGATGTCACATCCTGGGCATTCGGACTTTATATTGATAACACAGGATCAATATTCCTGCTCAGTCTTCAGTCCCCGAGCAAGACTTAAACCCTGAGTCTATAGGTCCAGTTAGCTTTTTATGTTTTTTATTTATTTGATGTATTTCTTTCAAGCAAATAGTGATTCATGAAGACCACAAAAGAGAGAAAAACGAAACAAAAAGGAAGACATACAATGACTAACACACTGAGGCTTGAAAGGTAGAAGGGAGAAGTAAAAGCCCACCCCAATCTTGGAGGAAAAAGTAAATAATAGCTATTTTTGTGTTCAATTATCAAACAATAGTAATGTATCATTCGTAAAGCAAGCAAGATGTTTGTGTTGTTTATGTATTGAGGACAAAGTAGGATGCACCTGTAAGTGTATCACAGGTTACACAATTAACAGAAAGATGGTTAGAAAAAAGTGACTGTAATATTTTCCTAGTTTGGAAAGTTAATTATCAACAACTTTTCCGCTCTCTCAGAACCCTCGAACCAAAACACATATTTTTTGTGCCAATTTTTGGTTGCAATGTTTTTTCCAGTGCCAGTAGAAACTTATCTTTTTGGGTGCTGGACTAGTCCCCATTACACTGAGATGGGAAAACTACTAGTTTTAGGTACTTAAGTAAGAGCATAGATATTTGTTTAGTACTCTGGTAAAAGTTAATTCAAGTTGTCATTTAGTTAAAAAGTTAAAATAACGTGTTTGTATGCACATCAAAAAGTAAAACGTAAGATTCATATTTGTTTAATCCTAGACAGGGAATACACCTCTGTCTAAGTTTTTCATACCGGCCAAAGCTGTTATCTGAACTTAGAAGCGTGGCTAACCACAGTTAATTCATTGTTTTAGAAGCATAGCTAACCACAATCCTCGTCCTCTCACCTGGCATGTACCGGCCCCGCATCCTGCCAGCATCTCTTTGAAGAGAGTGAGCTTCCTGCAGAGACAAAAGTTCAGATGATGCCGTTATTGGTTCGGTCCTTAGGCAAAATCAAGTTGTCACCACCTGCTTTAGAGATCTATTCTAATCATTGTCTTGCATATCAACATGTCAGCCACAAGGGCAGATTAATAATTCACAGGCGCAGCAGCTGAACCTGACGAGTCAATCATTCATCAGTCTGGAGCGTAGCCATAGCGATGCAGCTTGACAGCCCACAGACCCTTGTGTTTATCTCCGGAGACGAAGGGGACAATGAGCTGTCTGAAATACTATATACAGATCGCTAATGTTTGACTTAGAAGGTCGTTAAGCTGCCAGGAGTTTTAAGTTGGGGATATTAAACATTTATTACAAATAGACCTTTTTCCAATTTAATCTATACATTCGTTAAAGCTGAGATTTTGTTTTGCTAATCCCAACAGAAAGAGTCTTGTGAAAGTAAAATGTTGTGAACAAATTAGACCACAACATACCGTCTTTATCTCATGTTATCTTTTGCATACTTGTAAGAAAGAGCCCTGGGTGTCACTTTTTGCCTCTTTGAGCTGAGAGTTCTTTGCTGTAGTGAGGCTGGTCATTCCTTTTTCACTTTTCTGTCCGAAAAAGCTGATTTGAATATGAACCACAAATACTAGTCGTAAATAACTAGTCGTTCAGCCAAACTGCTTAAGAACGAGGAACTACTACTTTATTACATTTTACAATACATTTTTTAGTCACATTTTTTGAAGGTTTCAAAGTTAGGTACCCCAGCTTTAAACTAAATAACAGTGCAAGAACAAGGTAGCACTTTTGGACATAAAGGGTTCATACCTGGTATTCTAAGCATTCTGTGACTGTTATCATGAAAATGTGATAATTTTATCATAATAATAACAATTGTTGCTGTCCATATGCTAGGCCCAAACCAAGTGGATCTAAAAGAGGACATTTACTGACACTAAAAAGTTGCAAGTTACATACAGACATAAACAAAATAAATCATACCCTAGGAGAGATGTTGGATAACAATTAGCTAACCCTAACCCTTTTTTGTTTTCTTTTTGACTATGTACAGTATGGGCGACTGAAGAGAAGAATGCAGGATCAGCTCGAGCCCAGTACAAAACACGACTGGATCATGTGTCGGCTTTAACGTGCGAGTGCAGAGCGGACTTGATTACAGTGTGGATGACTGTCACTCAGCCTGGCAGCCGCACGGTGCCTTACCCGTCTTTAGAGAGATGGTGCCTGAAGAAGTCGTTAGCAGCCAGTTTAATGGCCTTCTCCGGCGTTACTAGTGTTAAGTTCACCGCCGCTCCTGGGAGTATTCAAAACAGAGAGAAAGAGAGAGATAAAAATGAGCAAGAATCAATTAAAGCGGCTGTCTGCGCACACGAAGGCGGCAGGTGGACTCGGATCACCGCGCGCTATTGAAGTTTTGTGCTCAAATACGTCAAGGGTGATACTGACCTCTGTACATCCCAAAGTATCCTTCTGAACGGATCGTCTTAATAAGGCAGTCTGACCTGAAAAGACAGCGGCGTGGGGTCAAGTTACAGCTTTTTATCCAATTTAATGTCACAGTTCAGAGGGACCACCGCTACATGTCATACATCTGCATCCTCCGCTGTAACGGGTTCTCAACTGGTGGATCGGGGGCCTAACCTCAGCAGCAATTTAAAAAAAACAATGAATCTACTACACAGCAAAATACGAAATCTAGAAAGTAGTGAGGTAAAGGTGAGGTCAGGAGTACTTCAAATCTCCCCCTCTGCTTTCTCCTCATTACTCAATGCCATTAGAAAAGCCTAAGTTGAAGCCATATTAAGAAATTATGCTAATATATACAAAGTATATGCTAAAATAAATTTTAAAAATCTAAATCCAATGAAAATTAAACAAAAACTTACATTACTTGAGATAAAATGGAGACAGATTTCTTGAATTTAGGACGTTTATTGTCAAAATTGTTTCCATATCGGGACTCATTTACCAATATAGTTAAACATGCTCACTTGAGTTAAAATTTGCCTCTTCAGAGTGCACTGTGTTATTTACCTTCAGCTTTGTCCATCAAAACACCTAAACATTAAATCATGTTGTGGCCATTTAAAACAGTTGTCTGCTGCTTATAATCAAGAGCGACCCAAATGTGGACAAAAAGGTTCTTTCTTTTTCAAAATTAGCATGTGTGGTTTATTAGCCTATGTGCTTAAATCCAGCAAGTACTGTAGTTATTCAAAGACAAACTTACTTATTAGAGCAAAAACCTTGATTCCAGAGGCTGTTGGATTTATTTTGTTCATAATTGTAGCACTGTTGTATTATTCACTGCTTATAAAACATGAATTTGTGGAAATATACAGTATTTTACATTATCTACACCTACTCGTATACCAATTCATTTAATGTCCACTTTCTCTGCATCCATAAAAATAATGTCTTCCAGTATGCCTCATCATCCTTCACTATTTTTAACATTTTACTTGAGCTTCAGTATTTATATTACTGCTCCACCACATGCAAACAATTATCCCCATGGGTACAACACTGTTTTTGAGTTGAGTTGAGCTGTATGGAATAAGCAAAATACAATCAAACTAAAATACATAATTATTAGCGGGTGGATATGGCCAGTCCTTGTGGATGTGTTGATTGAATGATAACAAAAGCAATATTATTGAATGTTTGTGCGTTCACTATCATGTAATTGAGTAGTCCTCCCGTGTGGTGCTCCCTCTGAGCTGTGATCATAACATCGATCCGCTGCCATTGATCCTATTGGTTGATTCATGTTGTTTTTCTGTGCTGCTCATAGACTGCAGCGAAATCAAAGAGTTTTCTTACATGCTGGTGTAAAGGCGCATTCCATTCTGCTGGTTTTGCAGGCGGGTCTTGGCCAAGTCAATGGGAAACACACAGGTCACACCGATAAGGCCAGCGATCCCCCCATTGATCAATTTGGCAGGCAAACTGAACGGCAAAAAAAAACAGAGAATATGGTGATCAAGAAGAAAACACAACCAAAAATATCTTTAAAAAGCTGGGGTACTACGTTTTTTTTTCCTTCTTAACCCTTGTGCTAGTCTAGGGTCAAAATCTCCCGCCACAGATGAATCAAAGTGGAAGAAAAATACCCTAAATCCTTTTTTTAGGGTCTAAAAAGGATCTAAAAGACCCAGGCTGGTTAAGTTAAGAAAAGTCTACAAAATTCACTTAATAACAAATGATTTAGGGTATTTTTGATTTACTGTGGCGGATCATTTTGGCACAGGGTTATTTGTCCCAACAGAAAGAGAAAATCATACTTGTAAGAAAGTGAGTCCATATTTGGGCAACCCTAATCTAATCCTAATCTAATAATGTGACAGAAGGCAAAAAATGCATGTGATTTCTCAACGGTTTGAAAGGTATTATTTGCATGGTTCCATTTTTGGTGTTTTTAAAAGTTAGGTACCCCAGCTTTACATGCACTGTTTGCACTGCATACGACATGTTACCTGATCTGCTTGTCCGCCATTTATCTCTAGCCTTGACCGCTCACAGTGGTTGCTTTGGTAATCACACGGTTGCTTTCGTCAACAGAAGAAATGTGAAGAAATCTGGAACAAACAGAAAGATTTCAAGAGTCAGTTTTTGGCAATACCACAAATGAGTAAACAAAACCCCATGACGTGAGACAAGTCTGCAGCAGAAATCAATAGATCATCTGTGTTTGTCCTTGAACACTTGTTTTCATGCACTAAAGATTGTTCTCTGAGCGTTTGCACACTTTTGACTCATCAGTCTCTCTGTGAACAACGTGTAATTGGGAGCAAAGCAATGACAAATATCAGTTGTGGTCCAAAAATGTGGCTATTTTTGGTACAGAATTGCTCCACAGTGAAAAAGATGCTTTCCATTTCCCCTTTGCTTTTCCTCCACCCACGGTATGAACCAATCACAGCCCAGCTCTCTCCTCACACACCGGCCCTCCCCCATCTGCTGCCTACAGTCACGAGTCACGATGCAGCTTTTGCACTAAAATCTTTGCTGACTTTGCCGGCTTTTTGAAAACTGCACACTCTACTACATGTACCGCAGCTAAATGCAAGTCCTATGCCCCCAATAGAGGCTTTGAATTCTCACTAAAAGATAAAGCCAGATCAGGAAGGCATTTCCACTGTGAACTGTTAATTATGAAGTCATTACGGGCTCATAAACACTTCTATAATCCAGAGAAGGCTTTATATTACACAAATTAAGCAAATTAATGGTAATAGCTTGTGATAGTTCATTTAATTTTCTAGCGAGTCACAAACAATAAGTGCTGCTTATTTAATTAACTTTGAGAAGAGAAGAGAATTCCTCCTAAGCTGAATGTAATTGGTGGCCATGTCATTTGGCTTGGCAACAGCCTGTTTTTCTCACATTCTTGATTTATAACCGCTGAACCACAACGCACCAAAATTCTCATCCAGACTCTTGTTTACTTTATTATAGAATAGATCAGGGAAAACAGCGTGGGACAAGTTTAATGACATATAATTAGGCATACAACTTAAGGCAGTTTGACAGCAGAACAAACTAAAGGGGTTGATTGTATTTTAACAGAGAGAGGAGATTTCATTATTTCTTTTGATGATCCAAAAGTACATATTAATATCTCCAGTAAAAACTTAAATGTGAGATCAACACCCTTTTCACTCATTTACTGTAAAGATGACTTACACATGACCTATTTTCAACTCAAAATGCGGATCTGAGGCGTATGCTCTCACTGGGTAAAAGAAGATTTTTATTTGTATTTTTTAAAGGAAACAAAATATCTGCCGTCAGTCCCTGCATCCAATGAACAAGCACAAGTTGTTGTCCTCAGCAGTGGACATGGGACAGCGGACAGAGTGGACAGGTAGATTTATAATTATGTCATTTCTACGTATATTTCTATGAATATGTAATATGTATAGTAGCCGGATCCACAATAGAGCCACAAGCAATTATTTTTACTGGTACAAAGAGGGTGGTTCTGATCATGAGGACTTACACATAATGAAAGAATGACGACAAAAACAAATAGACAATCAGGTCACATGGTTTTGTAGACCAGGAGTGCCAAACTCATTATGGTTCATTCTGGGCCAAAAAAATCAAAACAAAAAACATTACAATAAAATGAATAAGAACTGTGGAGCCAAAAGTTAAAGTTTTTGCTCCATGTGGTTCTGTTTACTTTGAAAGCTGTTTTATGATACTTTTTTTTTTTTCAGGGCAAAATCCCTTCAGTTACGTTTATATTTAACCAAAACTGGGCCAATAGGGGAAGACATCTTTTTGTAGACTAAAACCAATGATGTACTTTTTAATATAACTATACAAATTAAAATGTTCAAATACAATACATGATATAGTTTGAGAAAGAAAGCATGCATGAATAATGTATAACAAGCCATAGTTGCCCACACTACTGTATATCCTATAATATGAATTGAATAAAGAGTTTACTAATATGGTCTGCAGTTTGAATTCTGTGCTTTGTTTGTCTAAGCCTGCATTGGTCCAAAATACTTCACATATCAACTTTTATTCTAATAAATAGTTAAGAGGTTTTCAGATTTTTCTCATAACTCCTCCTCACGCCGCTCTCTCTGCCCTTAAGCTGCCTCTTCTCTGTTCATTCAGATTATCCACAGCTTCTGTCACAACAATGGGACGCTGTGTAAAACTGCAGTCTCCAGTAATAATGCATTTTATATGGCACTTCACTACATTCACTGCACAGATGGAGGTGGTACCATGGCCACAACTGCCCTGGGGTAGGCTGACAAACTAGTGACACCATGTATTAACCAGATGCAGAAGGACATATTTGTATCACAGGGTCTTCAGTGCGTTTTAGAATTGATTTTAAGATTTTACTGATTACTTTTAAAGCTCGTTTAGGTCTGGCACCAAGCTATATTTCTGAACTTTTAACCCCCTACGAGCCCCCCGCAGCCTTAGATCCTCGGGCAGGTCCCTGTTGACTGTTCCAAGGTCGAGGCTCCGGACGAAAGGTGACCGAGCCTTCTCTGTCCAGGCTCCTCGGCTTTGGAACGACCTGCCCGAGGAGATAAGGCTAGCACCATCAGTATCCTCTTTTAAATCTCTTCTTAAAACCCACTTTTATCAAACAGCTTTTAACTGTTAGTTTTTAACTTCCGATGCTGTATTTTATTGTCTGCTTTGTCTTTGTTGAGTCTCTTTTGTGTTTTGCTCTGTTTGCTTTGTGTTTCTGTATCTAATTATTTTGACCTTGCATTATGACTGTTTTTATTGTTTATCATGCTGACTGTGCAGCGCTTTGTAAACACTGTTTTTAAAAGTGCTATACAAATAAAGATTATTATTATTATTCAGTAGAATTCTTAACCAAAATAAATCAGATTGACAAAGAATGTAGCGCATCTAAATCCTGGAACAATAATTAGCAAAAATAAAATTAGGAGAAAATGCTTTTGCACGCAGCCCCTGAACCACAAAGGTCACACTTTTAGTTAGCTTTAAAGGAGATAAGCACAAGAGTAAGCAATAGGAAGGATGTTGTGTAATGCATGAAAAACCTTGGACTCAGCCCAAACCACCAATAGCTGCAATAATAGTACACACTATACGGCTAAATGAATTGTCAAAGATAACATGACTAAATGACCCTTGTTCCCAACGCAACTTCAAAGGACAGTCAAGAAACGTCATGAACTACTATAGAGAGGGCTTTTCGTCTTTTTGAAACAACTTTCTCAACCCTTTTAAGATTCACACCTTGAAGAAAGCAATGTTTTTTTATTCTGTTATTTACATTTTTTTTAAACCCCTATTTATTTATTTTATTATAGGCCTTTACCAAATGCTTGAGATGCATTTTGATTGTAAAAGTGCCTAAAACCATGCAAGATGCCCCAAAGTTCAAAGCATGCTTAAAGGAGATATAGTGGGACAAAAGGTGATCTACCAAATGGTCGAGGAAACCATTAACATATTAGTAAAATAAATAAGAAAGTGGAATTCCCATTTAAGACAGACCATGCATACCTACTTAAAATTGTAGCAACAAATAAAAAATGCAACTTTTATATTTTATTTTTTTTTTAAAACTAAAAAACAAGCGAGCCACCACCCACAGTATCATTACTGCAAAACTACACTCCATGCAAATCACACTCCAGTCATTCAAAACTGCTTTACCTTCACATTCAAAGCTCTGCCCTTCAGTTCAATCCTGCCTTGTTGTGAGTTGGAATGAAACGAGAGGAAGTGCCTGGCTATTGTAAAAGCACAGTGGAAGTCTGCCGTCATGTGACCTCGTTCCCAAAAACGCAAGTAAAACTCCAGTGCAGTATCGCTTCAATATATCTGCGCGTTGGCCAAGATCCTCAATTCTCTTCAATTCAGGCCTAACACGCCCTGTTGAAAGCAGACACCAGTGTATAGTCCAAGCCCTGGGATCAGATGAAAGGCTGAGCTGTTGTAGAGTGAAATCATAATCTGTGGTATCAGCGTTGGGACTGGTTCAATGGGGCAATACTGATAAGGTAATGTATCTAGCCTACATAGTTTTAGAGTAAAGGTGTCAAAGCACAAGAGAAGTGACCGAAAATCTGTGTTTATTGATAATGACATCCTCACTACAAACAACAACCAAAACTAAAAAGTGTGCGGTTTTTGAATGGAAGCTCTGAATGACGCCAATAGTGATAAAAGGTTTTAACAATAATGTATTGGTTTTATACAGCGCTTCACATATTGTTATTCTTTCACTCCATACATTACATGGTGGTGATAAAATACTAGCCACAGCTGCCCTGGGGCACACTGACAGAAGCGAGGCAACCAGTATGTACCCACAGCCCCTCTGACCACCACTAACCATCCACGCACATACCAGACTAATGCTAGGCAATGTGGGTGAAGTGTCTTGCCTAAGGACACAGGTCTCCCATCACAGCACTAACCAGGCCATACCCTGCACAGCGTCAGAGGTCTGATGGGATCTGGCTTTAGCATACAAGTAAATCCATAAACTGTTTTCTTATTAGGCAAGTGGTGATGTTTTCGGATTCTGCTCACTTTTCCCAATATTTAAAAAAAATAAAAAATAAACGCAGAGAGAAGTCCAGGGCTAGATATTTGACAACATGTGAACAAACTATGACCCCGGGAAAATTACGTCATTTCGAATATTTGCTATAGGCTCTCACGTGTCATTTTATAAACTTTTACGACATAATCGAATAATGTAAGACAGACAATCACATGTTTGCATGTGCTCCGGTTTGGCCCTCTACCGACATTCCTACTTTATGAATAACATTTCGAAGTTTTAGAGCAAACAGAGGGATTTTGGGAATAACAAGATCATTTGAATGGTGTAAAGGGTTATTTATGGACACAGCAGAAATAAAACATGCGCCCCACTAATCTGATTACTCCCGCTTCTTCCCCATCCGCATCGGGATTATAAACCCACTATGCCGCCTGATGCCGTCAAAATCGGAATACAACTTCATCTGAGAAAGACAAGCTTGTTATAGTGTTCAATTACACACAAATATACTCATGTATTTCAGGACTCACCGGAGAGAACAAGTTTCCATTTCAGGCAGAACAAATGGGCCCAGTGCAGGCTCAGAGCAGGTATAAAGTTTAATCCTATCTCACAGGTATCCCCAAAGGTCCAGTTTCTACACAGTCATCCTGGTCTTTCTGTTCCTACCTCTCAGCTTTCCTGGGGCTGAATGGGACAATAATGGTACCTCTGTATGCTGAGTTTTTGGATCTGGCAACAACACTGTCTCATGTTGACTCTGGCAGAACAGTCAGACGAGAGATTTGCCTTCTCCTCAGAATATAGCATCTTCCCAATAACTGAGCTCCATTTTTTCCCAATCAGGGGTGCAGGGTTCCATTGGACAATATGCAGGCACATACACGGGGGATATTTGGGATATGATCTGATTAATGTATAGTGATTTGAATGAATAAATGCCTTTATTATTAGTCCCACATGGGGAAATTTCAGTTTGATAAATAAACATAAAGGAATGAACTAGTAAAATCTTTTAATTTTCTATGCAGAATCCAATTGCAACGTTTCTAAGGAATATTATAGACACCAATACACTTTTTTTTGCTAAATTAATCATCTATATACATTTTAGGGGAGATCAATTTTGCCTGCATTTTTAAATTGCCTTGGAAAAGCAATAAGCTCACATTTCACGTTAATTAGTTATATCCCCTCTTGAATAACAATTGATTGACAAATAATCACAAAGAACAAGAACCATGAATTATTGTTGCCCAGAGTGGGGCCAAGCTTAGCCCTCAAAGGGGTCTGTTATCGTGAGTGCTGACATTTATAAGACTTAACGTTTTTATCGCTAAGAAGGTCAGTAGATTAAAAATGTCCTGTCAAGACTTTTACCTTAAAAACACAATAGTTCAATATAATGTATATCCGATTCCATACTCAAAATAGGTCTCAGCCAGATGGGAAATAATAATACAGTAATAAAAATCCCCTTCATAAAAAATGCCTAATTTTTGTTCAAATACATAAAATAGAAATTCCCTTACAATTATTAGACATGAGTATCGTTGCCAAATAATGTGTAAAGCTGAGTCAAAAGGTTTGTCTGCTTCCAAACACATGACCTAACCTTATGGGTAGCACATGCACCCATGAAAGCCCATATGAAGTCAATTTAAATACTAGTATAGATTATGCCCAGATGTTAAGGTTCTACTACCAGCACCATCACCACTGTAATAATTTGTATAAGCTCCATCTTGTCTAGTAATGCGTAAAGTAATCTTTTTTTCTAATCTACTGAACATTTCACAGACAGAGTCACAGAGCGCTTCACAAGTGTTGTGGGCATTTGTCCTCTCACTTCACACAGTGATGAGAGCAAGGTCGTCATACAGGAAGTACATGCCAGACCTTTTGTACATGCTTTTTTGGTGGTAGGGGAAACCGGAGCACCTGGAGGAAACCTACACAGACACAAGGAAAACAATTTAAATACTAAAATAAATTATGCCCAGATGTTAAGGTCCCACTACCACCATAACCACTATAGGGAGCGCATGCCAGACCTATTGTACATGAATTTAGTGGTAGGGCCAACCGGAGCACCTGGAGAAAACCTACACAGACACAGGGAGAACACGCAAACGCCACAGAGAATTGCCTGGAGGTGGAATCGAACTCGGAACCTTCTTGCTGCCAACCACTGCGCCACCGTAACGCATGCACTGGCCTATGATTTTTTTATGAGAATAGGTCACTCCTTGGTAATATTTTGCATTTACCCTTGTAAAAGATACCCTTTCAACATGTTTGCACACTTCCTGTCTTGTTGCACACCCTGAGTGATTCTATCTATGCCAAATTCATCTTATCATATCTTGATTAAAAAAAAATAAAGAAAAAAAGACGCTTGACAGAGGCACGCAACAACCAATGAGCATCCAGAGTGGCTTTTGGACGCACGCCTCATCCCTGCCCACTACTGCACGATAATTACACACTCACTACAGAGATGAAGCCGGCCAAAGAGCAACATCTGTGACCTGCACCTTTTGCATGCACTGTCTGTCATCTCCCCTTTAAGCTAGCATCCAGTGTAGCATAAGGCGCTCCATAATGTACTATCGCATCTTTTAGAATAGCTTCGATGGATTAGCACGTAAAAACCTTGCCCTGCTTTTACGATTACACACATAATCATAAGAAATAGGCGAGATAATGATAAGGCCTTACATGACCAAGCTACATCATCACGCCTCTGTCATAATGTCACATAACGGAAAATGATGTGCGGCTAATGACTAGGGAAGCGCTTATGTCCAGATATGATCAATTACTCTATATATATAAATGTTATTAATGTAAATGGTGCGTGTCTGAGCGTTTGATAGGTGTAAAACCCGGGGAGATAAGTGACATATTTCAGGTGTATGGACGTAATAATAATGCACATACCTCACCAAGGCGCTCCCGTGGTTTCTTGCGGACACAGCTCAAAGCCGGTGTGCTCTGTGAAACGTGGAAATACACACAAGAATGAAAGCTCAAGCACTGGTGGAAGAGGTGTGGGTCCAGTGCAGAGGTAGGAGAGGTGACAGTGAAGCAGCAGCAGCAGGAGGATCAGCAGGAGGAGGAGGCAGAGATGGAGCACAAGGGCCGTGTACAGCGCTCACACACGGGGATTGTGTAGGCCCCTAGTGGTGGATAGTGGAAGTGCAGCAGCAGCAGCGAACGTCACAGTGACGAGTTGAGGCATCGTGATGACCTTGAACACCAGCGTGGGAGACAGTAGGAAGGTAGACTACAAAGAGGAGGACCTAAATAAAACATAAGAGACTCCAAAAAATAAACTGATCAATAAAAATAGTGAAAACATTAGAGGTATATAATACAGCCTACTTCACAACAGACCTCCACATGCATTTGTAAAAAGAAAAAGATACAGAAAATATGATGAAAAATACAAACATGCATTTATTAAAAACCCATAATTTTTTGTGTATCCTAAAATCAAAGTGTGCAGTTTAAAAAAATAAATAAATCATATATTAAAGGTATACAAGAGGATTTTCTACTTCCGGGTGGATCATCAACACTATTGGTCCTCCCAAATGTCAATCATTCTGTTTATACGTCCTTGTCCTATAAGAGCAGAGAGTTTTGTTCAAAAAGTAGAAAGGGCGGTTCTTTCCTAAAATATGGGAAAATCCTCCTTTATACCTTTAAGATTTCATCAACAAATACAAATCTCTCACAGAGAAGACATGTAATAATCTGCACAGCCTTAAAAAAACAGACCCCAATTCTTCAGCTACAGGAATTATCAAGAAGGGTATTCAGTTTTAAATCAATATGAAAAACAATACATAGGCTCTGCGGGGCCTCTGGAGCAAACAGGGCCAAAAAATACAATTTTTTTCCTGAACTGGTCTCACTCTTCAGGGATAAGTAACATAATATCTTATTCGAGTCATTACACAATGTATCCGTTTGTTATTGTGTGGGTCATTTAAAGCCGTTGGCACTCAGTACTTTGCAAACAACGCTTTGAAAAGTGCATGTTCTCCTGTGCGAGACAGCAGGTGAGATGTTTAGACAGCAGGATGAGATGGTGGGGAAACATGATGAAAAAACAAGTCAGTGATGTGTGAGAGAGCCATCTGCACTCAGCGTGTGCTGAGCTACTGCTGGGTTTCACTAGAGGGGCTCCCAGCCTCCAGACCCACTCTCCTCAATGAGTCGGAGTACTTTTTCTTCCCAATGCTGACAATGTCCTCGATTTCCTCTGCCAGGTCAGTTCTGCCACTCTCCATCATCGCAGCTACAAGCTTTGACACAGACCCAGAGCCTGCCGCCGTCTGCCCTCTCGCCCAGCGAAATAACATGTCCAGCACCAAGCCGCCCAGATTATCCCTATGATGAACAGCACGATGCATGGATCAGTCACACACTTTGCAACATGAACCAGTTACTTTAGGGCAAGTTAATGATCATGTATGTGTTCAAATTAAACATAATTTCACATGAATATATGAAATGTACAGCAATTTACACATATATAAGTAAACCCTAAAGCTTCAGCCTCCAGGTCATAAACTGTCCAGTTCTATCCGTCTAAAGCATTGAAGATTGTGTTTAATGTGTATCTCACATCAATAATCTTCATCTGAATATAAATGGAAGGATACATCTAAATACACATGTATGGATTGTGACTGTCATAACAGTGGTGACAAGATGTTGTCTTATGCCTATATGTTCACTCTGGGAGATTTTTCACCTCTGCGATGTGTCGTGATGGGTTTTCTGAGGAGTGGGGGGGAGGGCCAGATGAGCACAGTCTGTGTGTAATCCTCCTGCAGTGTCCCAGATGGCTTAGTGATGGCTGACAGTGCAGACTAAAAACAATCAGAATTCTCTATATTGCACTGCATCTTATGTCTCACATCGTTCTCATCTAGATACTTCAGCAATTTGAGATGAATCTACTACAATTAAGTACATCCATGTATCCATTTGCTTCTCCACGTCAGGAAGCATCAAAACAGATGCCTCCTGACATAAAGAAGCAGCGGCTCTACTCCGAGCTCCTCCCGTGTAACCAAGCTCCGCACCTAATCAGCTCAGCTGTTCTGCGAAGGAAACTCATGTGGACCACTTTTACCCGCAACCTTGTCCTTTAAGTCATTACCCAAGTTCAGGACCTTTGCCTTTCTACTCAGCTATTGATCCTTTCGAGGGAAAGGCACATGTTTCCAGTCAAGCACCACAGCCTTGGATTTGGAGGTGCTGATCCAGCAAACCGTCCCAGTGCATGTGAAGGTCCTGGTTGTTTGGAGCCAACAGGACAACATTGTCTGCAAACAGCAGAGATGAAATCCTGCGGTCCCCAAACTGGACTCCCTCCGGCTCAGAAATGTTGTTCATAAAAACACTGAACAGAACTGGTGTCAAAGAGCCGGTTCTGATAAAGCTCTGACTTATACAGGGACGGCGCTCAACAAAGGACTCCTTACTCCCAGAGAACCCCCCAAAGGGCATACGTGAAAACAGTCAAACGCCTTCTCCAGATCCACAAAGCACATATGGACAGGTTGGCTAAACATGGAAATGTGCTGTACAAACATGTTTTGATTGACACTAACAATACATAAACAATATTTTAAGCTTTAGTCCACATACTTGTTTTTGAACTGAATTCGCTCCAGCTCCTCTTTAGTCAGACCAAGGTTTATTCCTATTCTCTGCCAGTCTTTCCCGATGCGGAGAGAGATGTTCAGGAGGTTGGTCTCAGTCAGGTATCCACTCTCAGGGTCCCCCAGGTTTAGAGGAGGGTACTGAGGCTCTTCCATTATGTAATTATTTTCAGAGTTCAAAGCCTATAATTGGACACATAGTTGTATGATAAAAAGATATGCCTATACATGACATACATATTGTAATACTTAAGATAAGATAAGATAAGATGTTCTTTATTTATCTCACAGAGGAGAAATTTACAGGTCACATTTGGCATGGATAGAACACTCAGATTGTGCAAAAGGAGGAAATGTGCAAACATGTTACATGCAGGATATATGTACAATAAAAGTGACAATAATTATGTAAAATGTGTTGTTAAACATATATAAACATATATAAAGATATTACCGGAAGTCTCAGTGGTAAAGTTGCCAGCCATTGACAGTCCAGGCCTTTCCTTTTCCTTACCACTTCCTCCGGCAAATTCTTTGGAATATCCCCTCTGTAGAAAGACACCTGGGACAGAACAAAAAACATAAAAAACATTTGAACAATGACTAAAGCAACAAGCTATGCCAAAATATTGCTAAATGTAAATGAGATGTAAAATTACTACCATAACGTTAAAGAATCTACCAGATGCACCTTGTCCTGACCTTAAATGGTGATCAGTGTGGTCAGTATGATAAAAGAATTGTGTGTCTACAGTATAATGTAAACCAAAACACATTGTTTAGTTCCCTCTAGTGGACAAAGTTCTTTACTTTTGCATAATTCAAGTTTACGTGGTAGACAATGATAAACATAAGACAAAGATAAAGACAATTTATTCTGCATTAGTAAGTTTACTGCAGAATTGTGGCTGTTGCAATGACGCTTATAGCTGTTACCTGCCCCCTCACTGGCACCATCTGCCCGGCCGCAGGAGAAATGTACACTTCTTTGAGATTTTTCAGGCTTGAGTAAAAGACAAAACGCAATCTTCCCTCTACACAATCTGGGCTGTCTAGAAAAATCATAAAACACAAGAATCTAATTATCATGATGATAAATGTATGCTAACGTTGACCAAATATGAGTTAAAATAAACGCAAGACCTGTGCTGACGTCCAGGCCTCTTTCAAAGCCTGCAAAGAACTGCTCTCCCTCCAGCAGGTCACACAGGTCAGACGGATGAGGTCCATCATACTGCGCTAACAAAGCCTGCACTCTGCCGTCCACCTGAGAATAGTACACCATTGTTTCAAAGTCGCAATAAATACAATGGGAAGAGCGTGTCCTGGGAACAAAGTGGAGACCTTATCTGTGGGCAAACACTGTAGCAGCACTTGGACTGGGTCTGTTTTTTTCTGCATTACGAGAAACTGGACTTTAAATTGCTTGAGTCGCTGATAGACTTTTCTGACGACTCCGCTAACACAACGCTGAGTGGTGTACCAAAGCCAGTACCTGCAATAGAACCCAATTTATAATCAATATTAATTTATAAATGACTTAATATCCAAAATGTTACAAAATGTACCATGAAAAGTGTGTTATATAAAATATGGCAAAGAGTTGAGTGATTTCTAAATGCACTTGAGGTGTGATGTCAGTCCAGGTTTGGGCAGTGGGATCTCCATGGAGCAGATGCAAGCAGGCTCGATCCACGGAATGACCTGCAGATTACAGTTCAAAATAAATGTTTATGATGTAATTATAGTACTTGTAGATTAACCTTCACGGTGTGTACCAGTCACTCCGTCTGGCAGGGGAATTTGAACTTTCACAGGTTGAAGAAAGTTAATGTTGGGGGCCTGGGAGAGACAAAGCAGGGGGCTGGCAGAAGCTTGAGGATCACCACAAAGACTCTGAACTTCGGATAAGGAAGCGGGAAGCACCTTCAGAGACAAGATTTCACTTTTTCAGTCATCAATATAGAGTTAAAATTACTACTGTAGATGTATGTGTGTATATGTGCATATACGTGGGTATGTATATACAGTATAAGTGTGTGTGTGTATGTGTATATACAAAAATATATATTTTTTTATTATTATCAATATAAGTACTATTATCATTATGATTATTTTTTTGTGTTTAACCCAAGTTGAACCTTACCATCTATTACTATTTCCTGTTATTATTTGATGTAACTCTTTTCCATATTTGTTATAATGTAAATTGGTGTTGTTCAAAGACCATAAAGTAAAACAATCAAATGACTACTGTATTTCTCAAAGAGTTTACCTGTAATGTTATTGTCCGGACTTCTGAAGTGCAGTGTTGGGGAAACATGAGCTTAATGCTAGGATCTGAGGTAGAGACCAGCAGTGCTCCAGCTGCAGAGACAGAACAAGTGTCTCTCACTGGACGAGACACAACCATGAACCAGGAGAACTGCTCAACAGAGCAACATGCCAACTGTACGTGGATAAAGAGAACATTAAGGAAATTATGTCAAACTCAAAATGTTGCAAACTAAGTGTGATCAAATCCAGTAAAAGAAATGGAAATGGAAAAACTAAGAGCTCAGAAGCAGCTCCAAGTCTAGTAGTCATTCCATAAAACTAACAACTGAGAAGCTAAATACTATTACTCCCTATGTTGATAAACATTTGTAGTCTATCAGTTCTATGTTATTACGTAAACCAATATCCCTTCAATTGATGTCATTTACTAGAGGTATGAATGTCAAAGTGTTCCTCAAAGAAAGTTGTCCTATAGTTACTTCAAGATAAATGAAACCCTTGAACCCAGTTTGTCATAAATTAGCCCAGGTATTGAAAACCAATATATTGGTATTGGACATGAAAAAGATGGATCAATGCGTCCCTAGATAAACTAGAAGTCATATTACCCGGACAGGACGTCCACCAGGGTGACAGCTGTTGCTTAGGCTTCCCCTCTTCAAAACAGTGGTCAGAATACTCCATGACTGCCCATCAAATTTTTTAACTATAATTTCCTTTCTTCTTGAACGGTGATATGGCAAGCGCACTTCGACAGGCTGTAAAAACATGTTGTCAACTTTATTTCAAATATTCATAAATATGAAGGCCTTTGTTACCTTTAGAAAAGCAATCCCATGAGGGCTGAGTTCCAATGGTCGACTTAGTAGTATTTCATGGTCTTCAAGATGAACCCATTTTCTATCTGGCTTCATCCACAGCCACTTTAATCTTGTGCTTATGAGAAGGCACCCAGGGGGGAACAGCAACTCTGCACCCCCAGGCAGAAACACATGACATCCAGCAGATGGAACACAGAAGCTAGGGAGCAACAACCAATCAATAACCAAGGAAAAACAAAACAAGTAAAAAATATAATGAACAGTACCTGTGCTGACCATAGCCTAAATGTAGCTCTTCTAGTTTTGGTTCTTTGTGTTCTGGGAGTCCGTAAAGCAAAGCAGAATAAATATGTTATAAGATACAAAGATAAAATATTTGACTGTAAAATATACATCCTGACATTCTTAACTATTGATTACCAGGTGAAGGAGAGAGGGGAGAAGGTGTCAAAGGTTGACCCAGTGGATTGTTACTGCTATCTACTTTCAACAGAGGCAATTTGTTCAAAGACGGTGGAATCACACGGAGGTCATTGCTATTGATGACAAGCTCCCTGAGGGAAAGCAGCAAGCCTGGGCAATAGAGAAAACAAATGTTCTTTATTATTCATAGTACAGAATATTAGAAAAAACATCAAAAGAGCAACTTGTTTTCAATGATTACGCGAATGATTGGCCTCATACCGAACCTACCCATACTCTCTGGTAGCTCCTTAAGTTTGTTGTGCGATAACTCAAACTTAACCAAGCTCTCAAGAGACCCAGTTTCATCAGGTAGAATGTGGAGAAGGTTATATGAAACATCCAGCGTCTGCAGTGCTTTTAGCTGACCCACACTTTGAGGCAGGGACACCAGCTGGTTCCCCATGAGAGAGAGGAAGGTGAGCGAAGACAGCTGGTCCATGTCAGGGGGCAGAGCCGAGAGTCGGTTGTGGCAAAGCACCAAAGAGGACAGTGCAGGAAGATGGAGAATGCAAGATGGAAGAGAGGATAGCTGGTTGAAGGAGAGATCCAGGTGTGTGAGAAAACAGAGCGCAGACATAGAATCGGGTAAAGCAGTGAGCAGGCCTTGCAGTGGGTCACCCTGAGCATCATAAAAACGGTGGCCTAGAAACACAGAGAAACAAAGGTAAATCACTGACAATTAGATTGTGCTTGGACAATGGTGGGGATATTTTAAAGGTATCCAAGAGGATTTTTTACTTCCGGGTGGATCATCAACACTATTGGTCCTCCCAAATGTCAATCATTCTGTTTATACGTCCTTGTCCAATAAGAGCAGAGAGTTTTGTTCAAAAAGTAGAAAGGGCGGTTCTTTCCTAAAATATGGGAAAATCCTCCTTTATACCTTTAAGTGTTCCCACAAAACACAAATCAAATAACAGTTTATGATAGGAGACAGCCTTTTTTTTAAGCCAAGATATGACAGCATTGTACAAAATAAGAACACAATAAGAACATATTTCTTTAAATGTAAAATGCTGCTTCTCTGAATTTGAGTAATTATGAACTTAGGCATTCGATATGGTTCAGGAATAGTTCCAGAGCAACTACCGCAGCGATAGAGGCTTTTTTGTTTCCCTTGATTACTTTTCATCTCATAAAGTTGCCCACAGGTAAAGACCTACACACCATAAATAAATATAGTACATTACCATAACTATGCTGATTGATATCTGTGGGTGATCTAAATACAAATTGAGTCTTTTTTAGTGTAAGAAAATTAAATCCAGATAAAACAGAAAGTCCTGTAATTGTGACTTAAAGAAAAAAAAAATACTAGCCCACATCTGTTCTTCTGGTTTTGGGTCCAAGGACTTTGTGAGAGACCTTGGAGTCATTATTGACTCGGAACTAAACCTTAAACAACACATCAATCATGTCTCATACATTGTCCTCGTTCACAAAACATTTCTCAAATCTGTTGATTCAACAAAGATGTTGAAATGTGTATGCATTTGTCACAAGTAGACTGGATTATTGGTACACGCTAGGGCTGGGCGACATGGCTAAAAAGTAATATCACAATTTTTTTTCCTGCTTTGGACAATTTTGATTTTAAATTTTCAGTCACCGAAGACAAACTTTGCCCTTAAAAATATTTTTTGATCTTTCCACTCAAAATTCTTAATTATATTTAATTTGTTTCCCTCAATACGTATTATTAAAGTCTTGTACAGACTGTGCTGATATAATTGATGTGCTGCTGGAACTCTCACAATATCCTTCAATTGATTTCACAATGTTCAAATTTTTCACAATTTCGATTTCTTATCCCTAGATTGTGTCCTTCTCTCTTCAAAGTCTTTGCGTGATTTGTTTTCTTGCTGCATAAATAAAATGTCTTTTTCTTTAACCTTTTTTTCACCTCATTAACTATTGGTTACCATATACATTTTGCTACCACAACATAGATCAAGAGTACACTGGCCACTTCACTGGACAAACGTTGCCCTGTGGTAGTTACCTCTGATGGCCAGAGAGCGCAGTTGTGTGAGTTGTGGGAGGACTTCCAGAGCTGCTTCTGTCCCTGACTTCTCCTCAGAGCCCAGTCTCAAGTATTCGAGGCCTCTGAGCTGTTGTGGGACATAACCCCAGAGTATGGGAAGTGCTGCTGCTCCTCCTCTGTAAACATCCAGGGTCAGTCTGGTTTCACTCATTACATCAGTGATATCCACCGATGGAGGCAAAGGAGGAGAGAGAGATAGGCCAGAGCTGGAAGAACCAGAGGAGAGTGAGGTGGCTACATTCTGAAGGTTTGAGGAGGTCATGGAGTGGTCCAAACTACTGGGAGAAGGAGGGAGTGTAGCAGAGGTCTCCTCTCCGTCAGAATCCTCCTCTTGGGCATCTGTATTTATTGATCTGGAAGTTGATTCCATGATTCTTGATAATTATATGGCACAAAGACAGTATCCCAGTAATTCAGCAAATGACTAAACCATCATCGCGAGTCTTTCAACTGTTTAAAAGGAATACTTTTGACATATCGTGTGCTGTCAGCTGGTGGCTTGGTCTGCACCCTCTTCTTCCAAAACACTTGCCCCATCACTCTCCATCAGGACTGTGAATATAGCACACATACATCATATGATTTGATGGACGTACCACTGCGTTATTACAGTGTAATAACAACCCGTCTATTTAAAGCCAAAACTATCCCAAACTCACCGCAACAACTGATTTGTCGATAGAAAGGAGACACATCACTGATCGTAGGAAGTTTAACATGACCATAATAACACCGTAAGTAAAGTTCCCATCTCGACTTCCTTGTTGCTTCTGATTTTGAAGAAGAAGCGGCACGTGATGGTTGTGTGTTCGTTTAGAACTTCAGCTTTTACCGGTGAACACAAATGACCATTTCAGTCATCGTAATTCTTTTCAGACACCGCCTCTCCGGGATGAGCTGTTCATCATATTCAGTGCCGCCCTTCCAGCGCCGCCAAAGTTTCACTCCATGGCGCGATGTTTGTCGTTCTCTTTTGAGGCCACTCGGAGGCGCTGTTATACAGTCCATGCCTTAAGCCCATAGACCAGTGTCTCCCAAAGTGGGGTCCGCGGCCCCCTGGTGGGCCGCGAGGGTACTGCAGGGGGGCCGCGGGAGGTCATAAAAAAAAATAAAAAAAAAATTATGTTAAATTTATAATCTTTTGTTTGTAATATTGAAATATTTGTGTTCATTATTTGACTTGAATAATCCACTGTAATCATTTTTGTATTACAATGTTTGTAGCAGAGGCTATTTCCCCAAAATAAAATAACCAGAAGAGCCTATTCTTAATGTTGTCTTCTTGGTTATTATTTTGGGGGGCCACGCAGACCCGTCAGATTTTTAAGGGGGCCTCAGTGTTACTGAGTTTGGGAATGGCTGCCATAGACAGTAAATATTAGTCTAAAACATTTGAAAATAACGCTTTGCAGATAATTAGTTCATTATATATATATTTTTTACATATGTGTCTGTCTTATATCGGCATCGACAGAACTTATTGAAGGATATCAACACCTTTGCTACACCAGTCCAATCTCTCTTTTTCATTGACACTGAAGCACTTCCAGCCTTTGTCCCAGGCTGACTATAGAAAACACTAGAAGCACTGCAGTCATGACTCATGTGTTCAGCTTGTATTGTTGACATGTTGATGAGAGAAAGCGAGGTAACGAAACTCGAACTGTTAGTTAGAGGAGGGTGTTATAGTGTCGCTGGTTGTGATTGGTCACACTATTACTCAAGAGCTCTCTGATTGGTCAAGGCAGTTTAACATCACTCCTTATTTATTCATTAAATAGAACAGCGTCAAAATAAACAACCAAATTGCTGAGAAATTATTTAAAGGCCGAATATAAGCATTTGGTTGGATATCGCAGCTTTTCAATACGTTTATTTTGGAAGTGAATACGAACCCAAGTTGACCAAATTCTGAAATAAGTTTCCCTTGAATTGTTGGGAGGGCAAAAAAGCAGCATGTTTCCTCTGGACTCGCCTTGGAACATCTCTTTTGCGGGATGCGGGTTCCTCGGGATCTACCACGTTGGAGTCGCCAGCTGTTTACAGGAGCATGCGCCTTTCCTCGTTCAAAACGCCCGGCACATCTATGGGGCATCTGCAGGGGCTCTAACCGCCACGGCCCTGGTCACTGGGGTCTGCCTTGGTAAGTACATTTTGTGAAAATATATTCACAACATAATTAGGCATGATAGAAATTATAATCTGATGTGATACATTTCTTGCTGCATAGTCTGTTTAAACCAGATTGGAAAGAATAGTCATAGTAATACAAAATAAAAACAAAAATAAAAATTGTGAGTATGACCTCATCCCAAACCTACTAATCTAATCTTAACAAGACTAGAGACTTTGGCCTTTCACCCAATCAATACCTATTCCGTTTTTAACTTGTTATCTAAAGCCGGCAACCTTGAAGTAAGTTATAATGATGTAACCAAAATATTTAGAAATAGATTATTGTATTTTATATTTTTCAAACTCTCTGATGCAAAAATATTGGCTTTCCTCAGGTCATTATGTTTCTTTGAGCCATATCATCACAACAAGTTTGTACCACTTGACTTGACACAATTGTGTAAACAAGGTTCTTTGCCAAATAGTTGTGGTGTGATGTGGTTGTGTGTTCTGTTTTATCCCAGGAAACAAGAGATTAGATTCGGCATTATGGTTCAATAAAAAATAATAAATAGTAAATAGTTGCATAGCCCCTTTACTACTCAATGTATTTTTATCTGTTTAGGGGAGACTGGTGCAGGTATCATTGGTGTTGCAAAAGAAGCCAGGAAGCGATTTCTGGGACCTATGCATCCTTCTTTTAATCTGGTGAAAATCATGCGCCACATGCTCCATCGGACACTGCCAGCTGAAGGGCACCTCTGGGCGACGGGACGGCTGGGGATCTCTCTGACCCGGGTGACTGATGGAGAAAATGTCCTGGTGTCGCAGTTTAACACAAAGGAGGAGCTGGTGCAGGTGACTCATTTATGGGGAAAATGTGTGTCTCATGTTAAGCATTAATATTTTATTGTTTTCTAAGTAATCATCTTTAATAGGTTGCGTTCATGTGACGTCAAAGCATTCCAAAGAGGCTATAGTTTGAAATTGTGGGAGCGAGTAGCTGAAAAATCTTTCCTGGTTACTATGGTAACTTAGTCTTAGTTTTTTGATAATTTCTCTGTCATTTCTGGACCAATCCATTTATACTATATAATATTTTCTCATAAATGTGTCTAGAAGTGGCAACAATATGAAAATAAAAGATATATATATATATATATATATATATGTGTGGCGTTGGTCAGTGTTCCCATTTATTTACAGTTGAAATATTGTAGGTTTAATGTAAAATGTGAGATGCTTATAATTTGATTTCACTTCTACAGACTTTGTACAGAATCATTTTATTCTATCTTATTAACTTTATTTGTTGTTGTTGCTTTTTTCTTGCAGGCGATTGTTTGCAGTGCTTACATTCCAGTTTATTGTGGGCTAATTCCCCCTTCACTGCGAGGAGTGGTAAGCTATTTTAGATAATAATTACAAACCAATATATCTAAATGTATACAATTTAATTCCATTTCATTTTAAACATTAAACCTCGTTATTTGTGCTTATTTGTACTTTTATTCTGAGTAATGACATGTACTTCCTTGTATTGTTATGCTATACCAGGGACCTCCCTCTTTCAAAACATGTATTGGCAGCCTCTTTAGTTCCGTCATACTTTGAACTTTCCTAGAATGTCAATGAGCGCTTGTGCCAGAAGTTTCCACTCTGGCATAGATTAAATGTTTCTTTTTTTGCTGCTCCATTCATGCCAACACATCTGACGTAATGTTTTCAGGTTTTTATAGCCAACAAATATCTCTAAGCCTCTAATTATGACATTATAGTAAATACAATGATGTAATTATGACACTTATTTTGTTTTATCATCAGAGATATGTTGATGGAGGCATCTCAGACAACTTGCCGCAGTATGAGCTGAAAAATACTATTACCGTTTCGCCGTTTTGTGGAGAAAGTGACATTTGCCCAAGAGACAGTTCAACCAACATCCATGAGCTCCGATTCACAAACACCAGCATTCAGTTCACCCTGGGGAACCTTTACCGAGTCTCCAAAGCTCTTTTCCCTCCGGAGCCTAAGGTCAGACAATCTATCTTTGAACTGATTTTATACAGTGGAGATATGCATTAATGAAAAATCTTCTTTATCAATGCAGGCAATGAAAGCCATGTGTAAACAAGGCTATAAAGATGCACTGCACTTTTTAAAGAGAAATGGTAAGTAATAGATAGAGATCCTTTATTCGTCCCACAGAGGGGAAATGTCAGTGTTGGAGGAATGAGGAACACACAGCACAAGATAAATGTATAATAACTCCATACTAAAATAGAATAAAATCTTTAACTCTATCATAAAAAGAAGCAGTATGAAATCTCTATTTTTAGCAGAATAAGGAGAGAAGTTGTCTTAAAATCTCCAAACTTTAGCATGAGGAAGAAGCAAGAATTAATTAAAAAAAAACTGACTTTAGCATAATAAGGAGCAAGTATAAAATGCTGTATATTCTAGTCCAAGTAAAATATAGTTGTATGTTTACATTACTAAAGTGACAGTAACACATGTAACACATTCTGACATTATTATTGCACTGGATGACATTATTAGAAACAATTGATTATTTGGACTTGTAAAAGGTTATGGGAGGATAATGTCTTGCCAATGCATGCTCAATGAGGATAACTATTGATTTAGATCATTTGAGCAGAAAATATGAATGTATGTCCTGATATGGTATCAGAGTTGTTTCCTGTTATGGCCCAATCAATACAGTGCTCTGTTATCACATCATGTTTTCTTGAGCCAGCCATGTTTTTGTGACTACAATGCATTATATAACAAACCCCACAATGAGGACCTGTATGCTTTACGAGATAAGATAAGAGATCCTTTATTCGTCCCACAGTGGGGAAATTTCAATATTGCTGCGCACATTCAGGATAGTGGTAAGAGCATACAGGGAGCACACGAAATGGATAGATAGATAGACAGATACTTGAATAAGCCCCCGTTGGAGAAGTCCAGGTGCCCAGCAGCAGAAAACACATCCATAAAAACACATAAGTACATCAATTATAAAAAATTCTAACTAACTAAAATATATGCACTAACCTAATAGTGCATAATTTTAACTCATACAGGTCTGTTGTACAGCCTGACATGCCTGTTGCTACTATTACTCCTCTGAGCGGCCGTTGTGTCATGCAGAGGGTGTCTGGATTAGAGCCCTCATCCTTCTTTCCAGCAAATATACAACTATACAATATAAGTAGCTGCTATGTTTCTTGGGGAGCTGTAAATCCTTCAGTATTAATCTTTCAAAATATCTTTCTATATATAGTGTAAAGTTATATACATATAGGGCAAGATGAGTAGATAAATTGACATTCAGGGGACATTCTGAAGTTGCAGTTTTGCACATTGCACATGATTACAGCATTGACTATTTATAAAATGACGTTATTGTTTCTACTTTTTTAACACTTAGGTTTACTGCATCTAAATGATCCACTGTCAATGCCTCACAACGAAGAAGATCACATGATTCAGAGAAATGATGTCGTGATGGAAAGGCCAGATGATGACGAGCCAGCGGACATGGAGGACCTTTTAAAAGATCTTCCTCCTGCTCTTCATAATGGTAATAATAATAATTACATCTTCAACAGCTGTAATGGTGGTAATGTTTTTTTTCCTGTTCTCTGCAGCTCTGATTGAAGCGTGTACTGAGCGCAGGAGCCTCACACAGTCCATCAGAAACCTGCTCCCAGTCAGAATGGCCTCCACACTGATGCTTCCGTATACTCTCCCCCTAGAGTCCGCTATGTCTCTAACTCTCAGGTACTACATGATACTTCTCGTTGAACTTTTGTTACAATGTTAAAAACAGAATATTATAACATGAATTATTATACTCACAAAAATGGTGTACCTTGACCCGTCCATCAAGCCTTAGCCATTACAAATGTCCTAAACCAATGATTACACTACACGACTAGAGAGGGCTGGGATGACATAAGCGTCTACTTCATCCAACCCTGTTTTCAGCCTGTACTAGAATATTTGTGTCTGTGAAGAGGATATGTGAATTTGTGTTTTAAATGAATGAATTATCAAGCTCACTAACTTTACTTCACCACACTTTCTGTCTTTGAAAATGTTGGGGTTTCATTGAGGAGATTATTGTCATAGCTGGGAATATGACTGAAATACATACACAGGTGTACACAGACGTATTTCCACCAATCACCACTTCTCTGCTCTAATGGTACAATGTGTTTGCAAATTGTTGGATAACTAGAATATCTTCGTGCAATTATGCTACAAAACAAATGAAAAAGTCAATCATCAATGTCTTCTTGGCTTCATTTCCTACAACTCAAGTTTTTTGTGAGGACAAAAATATTAAGATTAAGAGGTTCTTTATTTATCCTGTCGTGGAAGTTTCAGTTCATCTGTTGCCCTCGATGTGAGCTACCCTCTTGGAAAGGTTCCCCTTGATAAAGATATTTCGATCTCAATGAGCGTTTATGTGGTTAGATAAAGGTTAATGAAAATCTGAATGAAAGTTTCGAACTGTATTGTTTTTTTCAATTGGACTGATCTTTGTCTCATAATAGGCGTCCAAAGATTTCATTTTATCTGCAATGACACTATGTTTTCAGAATGTTGGAGTGGCTTCCAGATGTGTACGAAGATGTCGGCTGGATGCAGGAACAGATACTGACGATGATTCAGCACATTCTGCGTCAGGCCTCACAAAACCTTACACAGCATGTTTCTGCGCGGTACGTGTCTGACTACAAACACACATACTTACGTTGTGTCTGCATGCCTAATCACAAATATTATAGTTTTAGAATAGTTTTAGACATGTCCTGTATTTTTCTCAATACTATTATATCCTCCTATGTAACACTCACAGCTTGTAATAATTGGTGTGTTTCAGCCTGGTTGATCACAAGAACTGTAAGTGTTTCCACTGCACCCTCCTTCACACGTCTGCATGCTGATACTGCCTCCCATAGGTTTTCCTGTGAAGTGCAGCTGTACCACCACCCGTCCTCCGCTCAGATGGGCTCTCCCGGCCTGCTGCCTACCTGGGTGACCGACGGCAGCTCTGCGGTGCTCGGTGCCTTCATGCAGCTGGACTACTACAAGAGGCAGCTGTTGTCTGGAGCTCTGCGGTTCAACATGGAAATGCAAGGCTCTGTCAAAAGCACACGTCTGTACCCCGACCGGACTATGTCTTGTCCTGCCCTTTTCTCGGAGGAGTTTACTGGCCTTCAACCTTCTCTCATGACGTAATAAAGTTTAATAAAGAGCTTTAACACATGGAGAGAACATCGTTTCAGGCTTAGAAATGAGGCCACTGGATACCCATTAAAAAAGGCAAAACTCAGATTTTACTGTAGTAAAAATAGTTCCTTGTCATTTAGGGGTAGGTGGTAAGCAAAATCTGGGAAACTCGAACTACTCAAACCTCAAGCCAGGACAAAATAAGCTATTAAATACAATTGTATGTAAACGAAAGAAAGGAGAACGTGATTACAGCATAGTTGAAATCTCATTTGTTTTGTTTATTGTGTCCCTTTATTGGCTATTTTAAAATGAATCATGGTTAGCGTTGGCATTGGCCACATGTACTTAGAGCCATGTACAGACTTGAATTACAAGTTGAAGTAAACAAAAATGTGCACATGAAATGACACAGTTAAAATAGCTGGCTGTCTTGTGAAGGAATGTCGACACTGGTATTTAACAAGTGACGTTGCTGAAAAAGTATAGACCTTGAATTTGTATAGGTTCGGTAGCTATTGATATTACTCATATACTACATACACTCAATTCAATGTGTTTATATGCACAAAGGTCAGGTCTGTGAAATAACTTCATTAAATAAATGAATAAATCAAAATCACATTTGCTATTGTCCGTGTTTTTTTTTAAATCGTAACCTGAGATGGACACTGTTTTGACTCATAAACTGTTTTCAATAGTTTGGTTTATGCTTTTTTCTAATGAGTTTGATTTATTTTTCTGAGTGTAATGTAACTGAATACTGTGAAAACAAGTCTTGTGGATCCTTTCGGTTATAATTGGCTCCTACACATTGTCACAATGTAGTTTTTGTTAAAAATGACACTTTGGGAACAGTCCTCATGTTTCATTCTGAAAGACATGGATGGATACAATGATAAATAAATGAATGTCATGGTCACTGCACTGTCAAAGCATCACATTTGGAATAGACCGTTTCTTACAGGAGGAAATAGATATTCTGTTGTATTTATTCTATTTTAAATCTGAGAAGTGAGAATTATTTTTTGTTTTGTTGTTGTATTTTCTGGATTATGAGTCTAATAAAGTTTTATAAAGATGCTATTCTTTTAATCATTGACACATCAATGATCATTCTTCCCTAAAGAATACAGCGGACGTATACATAAGACATGTCATTGTTATTTTGACACTGTTTTAAGGTCTCTTTTTTAAACAAAAGAACAAAATAATGTAACATATTAGAAATGTCAATTAGTCATTTTAAAACTTCAATGTGATTTTACGTAGATATTAGATATATCTTTAAATATTTCACAAACCGTTTGACATGATAAGTATTTCAAATATAAGGATATAGCTGACCACAAGCACCAAACCAACCAATCAGTCCAACAAGAATAAATTACTAAAACAGAGCCATGCTAGTGACTCACATGGTTCTAACTTCTAACTATGAAAATATATACCTTCTGAGAAAATGTCGCTTTTAATTGACTTTCCTGATTAAATAAATCAATAACTGTAAAAAGGTAGGCACCAAAGCTTTAAGTCAAACAATCAAAATTACTGGAACCCTACATGCTGCCTTCACGGCCTCACACTTTCACCCTTGTGTCATTTGTTTATGATGTTCTCTTGAACAGATATTTCCGATGCTTCCGTGAAGGCACCACAGCAGCTCCAAAAAGTCTCGCCCCGCCCCGGTGCAGACCATGGTGCAGACTTGATCCCTGGTGCCTGGTGTGCGTCCGCCACCAGAGGGCACATCCCGGGGAAGCCTCAGCCCAGAGCTCCAGTCTCCTCCTCGTACCATGAGCTCAATAATCGCTCTGCAGACCAGGGAAGATGGCTGCCACTGACCATTCCCGGTCCGAAGCAGCCAAGCAGCGGCGGCAGGACCAGCTGCAGAGATGGCAGGGCTCGGACACGGACTGCACGAAGCCCGAGACCCGAGAGCTTCCCCGCGGCTCGGTCCCGCGCAGAGTCCGCTTCGCTCAGGGCGCCGTGTTCATGGCTGCATGTTCGGCCGGAGATCGGGAGGAGGTGGCGGCTCTCCTCAGGCAGGGAGCTGACATAAACCACGCCAACATAGACGGTCTGACTGCGCTTCATCAGGTAACAAAAAAAAAGTTGTCAACAAGTGGTTGTAAACTTTCCTTTTGGCCCCAGTTTTTGCTCTTAACTTAGTTGTCCGCTACGATGGACCCGTATGGACCATGCCAAGACGCGTAGATGCAGTTCAAGCCAACACACACACACACACACACACATACATAAATAAGACTTTTATTGTTGACTAAAGTTAAACTGTTCAGTGAACCTCCTCATAATTAATAATCTTCGTTCGTTGAGCTTTTCTGATCAACATCAGCCAACATCTGCCACAATGTTCAACAGGTTGTGGTTCTCTTCTTAATTAATGTTCTGAACAATTTTTTTTTTAAAAAGCATTTCCTTTTTCTCTGCTACTTTTATTGTGTTGGAAGCAGCAATAGGCTTGTATTTCTCCCATAACTTATATCATAATAGAGAAACGGCCAGGATGCTATTAACAGTGATGCACAATTTCCCCCACATTTATGACACACCACCACCACACACTCCCTCATTCATTTTTTGTTTGTAAGTAATCTTATCTGTTATTTTAATGTTCGAGGTTTGCCTGCTCATAAAGTGTGATGTGTCTAGATTTGGTCAGTGTATGTATCATCAGTATGGTGGTCCCTCTCCTGTCCTCCATCAATTCTCCCTGTTGCTCACTGGTGTCTAGGCAACCAAATTAAATATAGGCGCACGCTCTTAAAAACTTTCCATCCTCTCCATCTAGAGCCTTTTCTGTCTTGCTCTGACTTCCACTCACTCTTGCCCTCTCTCCATCATTTTGCCAGCACTTGCACATTTGGGATTTGGGAATGATAAAATGGAAAAAAATCCTCCAACTACACAGGCTGCTGTTGTTGATTTCAACAATGACTCACTTGAGTGTTGCGACTGGAGTGTTCGCCTGGCGGCTGTGTGCCCCATTCATTCAGTGTGGAGCACCACTTGTTGAGAGTCACTTTGGACTTGTTATGTGGAGGCCTGCGTCTCCTTTTATCCTAATATAAAGCACTGCGTGTGTGTGTGTGTGTGCTGCATGCCAGACTACCTGTCCAGGGAGCTGACTTTATGAAGGAGGTGGAGACTTGGAGCAGCTTTGTTACTCTTTAGCCCAAAAGCAAAGCTTCTTAAGAGGTGGCTTAGCGCCTCTTGGACATCCACTACTGTGGCCATGTCTTTTCCTGTGTTGTATTTGTACGCAACTGTCGTCCATTGAAAGTTTACACCTGATTCTTTTTAAATGCTTATTCTTTCAAGGATATGTTCCAAAACCAGAAACACTTTCTTCACGTGTTTGTTTTTCTGTAAGATAAACTTTGATTAGAATGACTTTGCTTTGTTATTAAAGCCTGCAGAGTTTTATTTTTGTTTCAGTTTCAGATGGTGGTGCGCCATGTGATTGTTTTAAATGAAAAACGTGTGCCACAGCTTAAAAAGGTTGGGGAACACTAAGTTAGAGGGTGGACTTGCATCTCCACAAACCTGACTCGTGCTTGGCCTTTTAGCATGTAGTCGTCTCCATGGGAATATTGTTCTCGTAGCTATAATTTCCCACAGTATGATAATATATAAATCTGTTAAGATTAAACTTCACAATATTATATATTTTAACTATCTGTCTAACATTTTAATTATCAGTTGTGTTTAGACATTGCAGCTCAAAACAATAGATTCAGGAGATTTAGTTCCATAGTTCAGTTAAACTGACATATTCAGTACTATCATGCATGATAATGGAATCATTATTGATGTCTACACAGATCTATCTTAAGCCCAGCTTAAAGGTCATGAACATTATTCATGAACTAATAATGCTTTTGCTCGAGAGATGTCAAATTCTGACATCTCTGGTGCGGAGCAGCGCGCGGTGCGGGGAGTCGCGCGGTGTGGCGAGGTCCGTTCGACGCCGCTTGCGGCTTTAATTATAATTGTATTCACTGCGGGAATGATGAATGATATTAACAATATTATTATGAATCATATATTTTTATTATTATTATACTATTTTATATACGGTTTAGGACTACTTGGGGGGGGGGGAGGCAAAAATACAAAATATGTTTGAGACAATCTATTAAAAATTACCATCTGAAACTGTCCCGTTTTGCCGCTGATCAAAAGTTAAGAACCCCATCTCCCCAATTAAGGTTCCAAACATGAACTTTGTGAAGAGTAGCTCCACTGTTGTTGATCACTTCAAACATGTTTTGCAGCATCTTTGATGTGTATCCACGATGTGCATAGGGAACATTTCTCCAGGTGATGAAGACCGCCTCATGATGAGCATCTGTCTAGAACCCTTGTCTATTTTTGCAAACTTCACTTGCCGTCCATTCCCAAGGGTTCTCAAGTGGATTTAGAACAGGGGACACACAGGGTCCAAAAGAGAGATGTGACTCCCTGGAACTTAGTCCAGCTTAGTCCTGTAGAAAACCCAGCTGTTACCAGACCAGGCCCTCAGTCATGAGAGATGCTCTCTGTCACATCTTCAGCCAGTGGCTGTTTGTCGCACTTCCGGAAGCTGTTCTGCTGAAGGAAAAGGCTCTCCAGATCATGATGCCGCCTCCTCCACTGTGGCTCGTAGAAAACCTCAGATGGGATCTGTGGCGTATTTAAAGACATTTTTCCGTCTTATGTCACAGATGCTCTGATGGTTATTGCGCTGCAGTCGGCACCAGTAACAGCCTTAATTTGACTTGCACATCTATTGTCTTGATGGACAGCCTTTAGGATCTTGCAGCTCAGTGCTGGGGTCTTTTTTGACTTTTTTGTTCCATAATCCTCAGGATCTGTATCCACCTCAACAGCAATGGTGCTGCCAGAGACTCTGCTTATGCAGTTAAAAAAACTGACCACGTTCAAAAGGGGATCTTCTTTGTCTTCAGAAAGTCAGGGCAGTGTGACTACCTGAGGAATCCTGGTGTTTCTCTTTTCAATACATTGCTTGCTCATTTATTCTCTCTCCCCCATTTCGCCATGCTGCATATGGAAACTCTTCTTGGAATCATATCAACCAACCATGCAAAATATAGATTTTCAAGTGATCTTAAACTTTTGGTTGGGACTGTATCATAAAACTTTAGGGTGGTAGAATAAATGTAAGGATGATTTATGATCATGTGATTTGTCAGTGCCTCTCACAAAGACACTGCACAAAGGATTAATAAAGAATAATTAATAAAGCTCGGTGAAATGAGCCTCAAATCAGAGCATGAGTTCCTCATGGGATGTTTTGTGGTCTTGAGTTTGATCACATTGAGAATCGAGATGCACCTTGCCTCAGGAAATACAGCTATAGAGACGCACTGTTTCATTCGTGCAGAAAATAATAGTTTACAGGCTGCTTATTATGGTCTTGTTGCTGTTGAATGAATGAAAATGATTACATACTTAAAATAAAATTGCTGTTTATGCACAGACAAAGATGTTACACAAATTTCAGTTCAACCAATGATATGAGAAAGAGGCAGTTTTATTATTAATTTTGTGTGTGTTACTTGAAGCCAGTGTCTACTGTGTGGTGTTGCTAGGCCTGCATAGATGAAAATGCAGAGATGGTGCAGTTCCTGGTGGAGAGTGGGAGTGATGTGAACCGAGGAGACAACGAGGGCTGGACTCCTCTACACGCTGCAGCCTCCTGCGGCTTCGTCCAGATTGTCAAGTGAGTTCTTTTCATTGCTGCAGTAGGATATACCAACACGCCGAAAAACGTGTATTTAACCTGTTTTTATTTTCCGTTAGATATCTAATAGAACATGGGGCTAATGTTGGTGCTGTGAACAGTGAAGGGGAGCTTCCACTGGATGTAGCTACAGAAGACGCCATGGAGCGACTTCTCAAGTCTGAAATCAAGAAACAAGGTTAACACACCACAAACACAGCCTATTATGTCTTACCTCAAGCCCATAAAAATCATGAGGTGGAGAGAGGACATAATTTGACTCCAATAAAAACAACCTACATAAAATATTCCCATAAACTAAGTGCAAGCAATGCACTTAATGTATACACTGAGAACTCACTTAAGTCCCTTTCTCTAATTCACATATTTGAATTAATTTTGCAACTATTATTCTTATATTCTTACACCTGGCTCCCACTGCTCATGGTGGACTGCGTTCTTGGTCTCACTTCGATCTCCACAGTCTGGTGAAGTTCCACTCAACTAAACTATTAACCAAGGAAAGGCTTGCAAAGAGCTAATAGGAATTATCCACGTCCCCTCCGCACTCATCTCCTCATACTTTGCTTATTGTCATAGCATTGTATTCATATCACTAGCTTGATTTACTGTATGTTCTCCTCTGTTATTGGCTGGAAAACAGTTAATAACTTGAGCTAATGTCTACTTTACAGGGATAGATGTAGATCACGCTCGAAAACAAGAGGAAAGAATAATGCTTCGAGACTCCATGGATGTGTTGTCTGGTGGTGGCACACTCACACCACACCACAACACCAGGGCGACGGCTTTGCACGTTGCAGCAGCGAAAGGATACATAGAAGTCCTCAAGTAAGCCTGAATGTATTTGTCTAGTATCAGTCGAAATAAAACATTTGAAGGGTTTGAAGGGTTGACTCCTAGTGCGTGTGTGTACATATAGTACTTCTTGTTTGATCCTGAGAAAGTAATACGCTAATTATGTTTTTGTCCACATAATAGTGGTGTGGTTAGTAACTAGTACAGTTTAGTTTATGATTCTTGTCTTTCCGTTACCAAAAATGAGCAATTTTGTTTTTAGTTACATTTCAATCCAATGTATTTATATCGCACACTTCACAAACCGGTTTCAGAAGTTCTGCAATGTAGTAAAAATAGAGTATCTATTGCAACACACTGTATTAAATGTGTTAAAATAAATGAAGCAGAGAGCCTGATTGACTTCAAAGCTGGTAAATCTAACTTTATTTTTCATTATTAAAAGTGAAAGTAAACATGTGTAAACAAATCAGACCAGAGCAGGTTCCATATGATAGAGATAGAGTTTAATGCTGTTGTCTTGTGTGCGTCTGGCAGAGTGCTTCTTCAGTGTGCAGTCGATGTGGACTGCCGGGACGTAGATGGATGGACCCCTCTCCATGCAGCGGCGCACTGGGGGCAAGAGGAAGTGTGCTCTCTGCTCGCCGACCACATGTGTGATATGGGGGCTGTCAACATCGTGGTGAGGCGATGAAATAAACCATTAGTGACAAAAGGACTTTTTTAAATTTTTTATTTAACCCGGAAATTTCCATTGAGATTTAGAACCTCTTTTCCAAGGGAGTCCTGGACAAGAGGCAGCAAAAGTTACACACAGTTACATACAATTACAGATTATAAAAACAGATGCACACAATTTCATAACATTTCAGATTATAAAAACCGTTACGTGTCAATGAGGATGTCTCAAGTCATCTCAATCTTGACTTTAAAGCATTCATTGAAAAAAGTTCAGTTAATTTCCCAATTATTTTTTAACCAACATCTCTCTGTGTGTTTGAGACTGTGATTATTACTGGAGAGGACGTTTTTTGAGTACCGGTAACTAATTTTGATTCACTTTTAAAAGGGCCAAACTTGTCTAGATGTCGCCGATGAGAACCTCATAGACACATTGGAGGAGCTGCAGAAGAAACAAAATGCTGTAAGTAGCGTCTTGACACAGCTCTCGATGTTGCTCTGTTGAATAACCCTGGTTTGACTGATGGTGTTGTGGCTGTAAATGTTCACTGGGTTTATAGTATGTTTATATTCTTGTGCAGTTACGCAGCGAGAAAGAGAAACAAACTCCAGTTATAGAGACCAGCCCTCAGATTGCCATGGTACCAGTCCGACCTCGAAGGTTAGTGCCAGTGTGTGTTTACAAGCTTGTATTTGTCTGTGTCCCCTGTTGTCCCAGTTGCCACTATTGCTGGATATGATGTCTCGAGCCTTATATGGGCGTCATGGAAAATTATGACAGAAATCAGGATGTGTTCCAAAACGCCTTAAATTAAATTGTAGTTTATAATTGTTGTTTTAAAGCAGTGGATCTGATTTGGATCAACAAAATAAGGTATAGGGTCCATGGCATCACATCCAGTGCCATATTATCCCGTGCACTAATGAGTTTATTGCCGCTTGCTGTAATTGGCTGAGCACCCTGACTGATCAAACCCCCTGCATGCACCTGTCGTCCCGCTATACCATGGCCCTCCCTGCAGGACCTCTATCTCCCGTATGAGCAGCAAGGAGAAGATTTGCCTCCACGAGCGAGAGAAACACCCTCCCCCCGCTCTGCAAAACAGCCCTGCCGAGGAAGAAGAAGAAAACGAGAGCCAGACGGGAAAAGGCCAAACCCAAACCCAAACCCAAGGCCAGACCAAAGCCTCCAGCAGCTCCAGCTCCGAAGAGGAGAGTGAGTCTGAAAGTGATGCAGAGTCTGGTACGGCTACAACCATTTCATTATAGAGATTTGTTTTTTTATTGTGATTTTATATAATAATGCATATTTGAATTTGCAGAGAAAGCTAAGAATCGGGAGCTCATCAACAACTTGAACAACAAACGTAACACCACAGGACTTCTTTCTACCTCTACAAGTGCTGCTGGTAAAAAGGTAATAATTGAGGCTAGGATGTTATTTTGTATGGAAGGATGTTTAATTGTTGACTTGTGGTAGGCTTGTCAAAAGTATCAAAAATCAGATATTAATCAATGCTAAAACAAGTTTTGAAACTAGTTTTAGTACTGATTATTATGAAACCAGAGAATCTCACATTTTGTCTGAACAGTTTTTGAATAACTCTGATCTCATAACTATTAAAAAATCTCGTGGTAGCATAAAAAAGTAGTAAATGGGTTTTTTTTTTTGTATGTTAAAAACTGCGGCTCACTATCCGTATTGTAGCAGAGTTTGCAATGTGAGCATTTGTACTGTGTGGTTACAGGAACCCAGTAAGACGCAGCCCACTGAAGCCCCAGGCTCCTGGAGGACCTCCCTGAGGAAGGCGGGCAGCTCAGTGACCCTTGGCTCCGCAGGTCTGTCTGAGTCCAGCCAGGACCGCCCTGCCGAGTCTGTGTTAGGAATGACCCGCTCCGCATCCAGCCCCCGCCTCAGCTCCGACGCTGACAACAAGGTGCAAACACTCACATGATTCCAGAAAGCGTGCAACCATGAAACCGCTGCGTTAGTCGTGGCGAAAGGTTTTTTCTGAGTGTCCTGGTTGCTGACGATTTGGCTTGATCAGCAGGAGCCGCGGCTAGCCAGAGTACCACCCATTACAACGCGGAGGCTCTTCAGTATTCCCGACAGCAGTCCTGACAACTCCAACAGGTGGGCTTCTGCTCTCGTACGCTGCTGCTGTGAGACCAGAATCATTGCATATGTGTTGTCACCCTGCCTCTCTCTCTCAGCTGGCTCAGTCGTAGCTCTTCTTACACCCGGCGCCTTCATAGTCATAGCAGCGAGTTCAGTAGTTCCAACCCTTCTTTGCCTCGCAGGTCAGTCACGCTGCTCACTCCCAGCCATATTTTTGTTTGCTTGTGTGCTTGTGTGATTCTCTGTGTGGCTTCACTGCAGACATTCCCCACACCAGTGATTACTAACATGTCTTTGTGGCAATCGTAAAAAGAGAGAAATGTTCACGTCGGTGTTTCTTGTCTGTAGTGCGTCTTATGGAAAGAAACTGGACGATCTCACTGTAACCTCAGCCAGTTTAGGGACAAGCTCCTCTGGGCTTGGTCGACCCAATAGTGTTTTAGCTCAGAGGTAATGTTGATTTATAGCTCCTGTTTTATATTCTAAAGAACATAAATCGGATTATACTTTCTATGTTTTTATCATTAGACTTCCTCAGGAACAGTCGGAGAAGAAGGATCAGCCTGTGGTCACAACAACTAATTCTGGCATCATGATCACAGGCGAACCAGAGGCCAAGCAAAGACGCAAGTCAGTGATTCATATGTCACAAGGTTTAGAAAATAAAAGTGCATCGTTACCAATGTAGAATACAGTAGGAATACTGATATATTTCTGTAGCATTACCACGACAATAATAACATTGTTGGTATTATTAAATATATGAATATAATATGTTGTTATTATCAATAGTTGGGCAGCTATTTCAACAAACTTGCACTTAATAACTTCATAATTGCAGTTGCCTTATATTGCACATTTATGTTAAAGCTGGAGTATGACTTTGAAACCACAAAACATTTTCTTAATTCTCAAAACTATTTGGTTCTATCATAAGTTTTCTCATGCATGTATGTCTGGCCTGTCACATGTGTGTGTATAACATATAAAAACAAAGGTTAGGTACTCCAGCTTTAATGTATAAGACATAGATATATATATACATCCTGTGAAATGCATTCAGGGCTGAAGAAGTGTCTTGTGTAGGTCGTATCTGACTCCTGTGCGTGACGAGGAGGCCGAGGCGCAGAGAAAGGCCCGATCCCGACATGCAAGGCAGTCCCGCCGCTCCACTCAGGTACACATCTGAACGCAAAACTATTCATCATTCGAGCAGTCTAGTTTAATTGCTCGCCATCTTTGTGTGTAGGGTGTAACACTCACAGATCTACAAGAAGCCGAAAAGACAATGAAGACTAAAAGTGAAACTAAAGTGAGAGAGGAGGAAGACGAGAAGGAAAAGGACAAGGACACTAAACTGAAGAAGGGTGATGAGGGGGTGAGTGTCATGTTATATATGTATTAGCTTTTCTGCGTTGGCCTGTGCTAAGTCATGGACGTCACTGAATGTTTTTTTATTTATTTTTTTACAGGAAGTGAGCTGGCGGTCTCGTATTGCCAGTTTACAGAAGTCAGACCTCCTGGGCCTCACACAGCCCGCCGGTACCTCGCGGACTCAGGCCACGGACAGAAAAGGTAAAACTTCCCCCTTTTTTAAACAGCTGAGTTTAGATAATGTCCTTAAACGACTGCTTTCTGGCTCTGTTCCAGATGTAGAGGCCACTTTAGGGGGAGAGAGTGAGACGGAGCGATGGGCGAGAGAGCGGAGGGAGAGGCGACAAGCCCGGGCCAGAAGGAAGGCGCAGAAGACGGGAGAGGTGAGTGAATTAAGTTCTTGGATTATATGGAGATTATTGTTGTTGTTTTTTTTCTTTCAATAAAAGCTATGTGCCTTGTGGTCATAGAGTGATGACAATGAGCCAAGTGGAGAAGAGGAGTTGACAGGCAGTGGGCTGGATCCACAGGTTGGCTTTTTTATGTTATGATGTCAAATCCTTAATGTAAGACAATTGGTATGTATATATTACATCATAAATGTTACCGCTGACAAGATTGGAGGGGCGGGATATCAATAAAATATCTCAACCCAAAGATGTACATATATTTGGCTACAAAGAAGGAAATAATCTCACACACATGCAATTAAACACAGATAAAAAGTACAGTAGTTGCTGGACTATTAAGCGCACCCACTAAAAAAGTACTTTTGGTTTAGATGTAGGCCGCTATTTAATATAAGCAGCTAGGCAACCCTTTCAACTGTGATATTGGCAATAAACATCTGTCCCATCCCTACTAAAGAAACTTGATGGAGTCAAAATATGAAGTCCATAAACTCTGCTCTGACAACAGCCAATAAGTCCCATGTTGTGTGTTCCCTGCTCTGTGTCGGCTCTATCTGTGCTGTTCACATAAACATACCAGAAAGCAGGAATGTAGCCGAGGTTAAATTCCTTTATGGGACGATCCAACAAAATCAATAGAAATGCATTGGCAACTTCGTACATAAGCCACAGGGTTCAAATAACTTATATTCCGGCTTATAGTCCGACAATTATGGTACTTTGACAACAGTGGAATGAACATCTGTAATTAACCAGACGCATAATATTTTGTTTTTGTCTTTTGTTCTTACGATTCATGATTATTGATAAACCTAATAATCTCGATAAACCTAATAATCTCGATTTCCCCTATTTGTGGAGAGTTTTAACTTTTTTTTTTTTTGGTCTTTTTATAGACAAGTGAAAATTTGAGTTCCAGGAGGTAAGACTGCACCTTTTGACCATGATTTAGAAAAAATGTAATATTACAGTGGTCTCTCACTATAATGCGGTTCACCTTTCACGGCCTAGTTTCACATTTTCTAACATTATATAACTGCTAGTATCACATAAGTTACCTTTTATTTAAAGTCAGAAGAATAGTGTTGTGGCTTGTGTTCAGAGGACTACCGCGGTCTACCTGTAGTGTGACGCTGAGGTCAATAATGACGTTAAGATACTGTTTTACTTGCCACCTCTGACCTTGTATCCTTGATTTTCAGGTCAAATTTGTCCTGTAATGACACAGAAGGTGGCTCTGGGAATAAAGATTATAAAAAGGTACATGGAACTTTCTTGTTTTTTTTTTTTTTATGAAAGAATCATTTTATGTAAAGCTTGTGATGCAATGAAAAACAAGTGCAGCAATCACACTCTACCCCCGGAAGACTTCTCTAAGTTGTTTGTTCTGTTCTTCTCTGACAGTTATTTGAAGAATTGTCGAGAGAAAACAGTCAGTTGCAATCACAACTGCAGGACACTCAGAGGATTGTGAATCAGACTCGGTTGGACTTGGAAAAAGCCGCCCAGGTGCCTCCTATAGCATAGTTACAAACATTAAAACTGTTCTCCAAACCACTCAAATGACACTGAACCCAAAAAGCTGCTTGTTCATGATAATATTTCTGTGTGGCAGCGGCAGGAGCGCTTCACCGACTGCTCCGCCCTCCTGGATATGGAGAGAAAGGTACGTTTGAGAATGTGTTCTTTCCGTAGTCACGTGTTGTAGCGGCCCAGCTTCACCTTTGCCACCTCTGCCGTTTGGAAAGTCCTTTCTTTCACTCTCTTGATTTCACTTCACTTTTGTGACCTGTTCCCTGCACTTTCTCTTCCTGCTTCCCTCCCAACCACGCCCAGGACCGGAGGATGCTGGAGAGGAGGATGGCCGAGTTGGAGGAGGAGTTAAAGGCAAGTGTGGCATGTTTCTCCGCCTGAATAGCTTGGCTTTAACTGGCACGTAGACGAGTGGTGTGTCTGTCGTTTTCAGCGAAGTTTGGATCTAAGTGCATGTTGTAGTGAACTATGATAGAAAGATTCTAGATGAGAGATGATGATTTCACTTGTCGTTGTAGGCAAGGCAAGTTTATTTGTATAGCACAGTTCATACACAAACTCAAAAGTGCTGAACAACGCAAGTTAGATACAATCACACAAGGCATTCAAATCGTACATAATCACCATACATTAAAAAGAGTCCAGATAAAAGCCCTCAGTTGTTTGCTAACCTGGATTTGAACATTGTCAGAGAATTCTAGCTGCATAAATCTGAAAGGCTGCCTCCCCATGGTTAGTCCTGACTCTGGGCACCAGCAGGAGGCCAGTCCCTGTGCTCCTCAGAGTCAGAGTTGGTTCATATGGCACTAACATGATGTACTTTGATGCAAGGCAATGGAGAGACATTTAACAAGCAGAGCTGATTTAAAGTCTATTCTCTGAGCCACATGATAATTGACATGAAACTTAATAATTCAAGTGTAATTGAGTCAACTTGGAGATCAACTTTTTTCCAGAACCTAGATATGTGAGAATGGTAGCTTATCTGTATTTATACTATATAGTCATCTTATCTTGGACAATGCTACTGGTTATATGATAATAAAGGGGTCTCCATAATTATAATGGTGCGATGAAGTGTGTATCAAAGTTTACCTTTTTATCCTTCTAGGTTCTTGTTGATCTGAGAACCGACAACCAGCGTCTTAAGGATGAAAATGGAGCACTGATCCGTGTCATCAGCAAACTCTCCAAATAGACTTCCAGAGAGACAGAGAGGGAGAAAGAGAGAGAGAGCAGGGACAGCCACCCCTCTCCCCTTCCCGTCCACACATTCCTCCCTGTGCCAAAGACAGACCGAGGGAGAGGATCCGCACAACTCTCCTGACCATACCAGATTGTTATGCCCTAAACCATAGTCCCAAGCAGCTGGAGGGCTCCGTGCCTTAATGTCTGTTGGTCGTAGAAGACTCGAGGCTGTAGTTGAAGCCCTCGCAGTAGCATGAAGACAGAGCCAAACTCCCATGGCTGGTGCAAGGCAGATCAAAAAGCCCAGCATCTGTGCGTCTGGGGATCACTAACATGCACTACATTCCTACAAGTGCATCAGGACTTCCTCAATGCACATTCCATGAGAACAGAAGGTCAGAAGGTTTTCTTTATAGCTCCCACTTAATATTTACGTTTTTTGATCACTTTCACCGTTATCGCTATAATCTATGAAGCCCCCTTTAAACGTGTTGTCGAGCAGTTGACGCTTTGCTTGCTCTTCGAAAGGTCAACACAACACTTCAGGTCTGGCTATGACAGAAACATCCGGCGGAAGTTTGTGAAACGCTGTTGTTTCCACATGCAAGTGTTTTGAACCCACCTACCTCTCCACCTAAGCACTTCCCCACCTATTTTTTTATTTTTGTGACACACTCCAATGTTCTTAAAACTGCAGAAACAGGTCAATTGAATAGCACTTTACTCTGCAAAGTATATCAAGATCGATGAGGTTTTGCAAGTTCACAAGATAAAGAAAAACTAATAATAATTTGAATCCACTTTTTCCTGTTTGAACAAAGAAAAGGTAACGACATGTTTGAAGGTCAAAGGTTGTTGCACATTTCTATACATTGCTGTTACAAACGCAACAAAGGGTTTTATTATTTGCTATTGCAAAATATTTTGATATTTTTCATGGACAATTCCTCTTTCTCACGAGGGGTCTTGTATATTGAATGTCTTAAAAATATAAGTCTTGAATGATAATAGCCCTCAGAATGAAAACACCCATAGCCTTTTTCACGTTTGTTTTCTAATATATTTAATGAATGTCTGCACCATAATAAAAGTGTGTTTGTAACTACTGCTTCTTTCTTATACGCAGAAATGACATAGAATACATTATTGCTGTAAATGATGATCCGGTCACGGCTGGGGGATTGTTATGGTGATGACGGCAGGCTGCCCATATGTATTCCATGTCTGAAGAGGAAAACTGCTGCAATGCTTTGAGTGGTTCCACAGATGTATTTACCATTTGTTTGGACTGTGGAAGTAATCTTCTGCAACTCCCCAGTGGATGCTACATCATGAAGGAATTGGCCAACTGATAGACAATATTGTAGTCTAGAATTTATAAAGGAAAAGAGGAGGTCTTCTATACAATTTATTAGAATTCTTTGTAAGGTTGGACATCTATCCTTGTGTCTCATGTGAGTGCAGAGATGGACCACTGCAGAAGCACTGACAACAAGCAGAGCTCCTAATAAGGAAGAGTTGGCTGGTGGAGTCTCTCCCTGTAAATATCCCTTAGGTCTGAGAAAGACAGCAGAGAGCTGGGGAGGAAGAGGGAAGCGGATGGATTGCAGCCTTATATGGACAAAGCTCTGCTTTTCCCAGGGTTTGTGGCTCTGACCCCCGGCAGGACGCCAGTAATGACACCAATGGCTCCGTTACGCCACCATGTGGTATTAGTGAGGAAGTACAACTGGGTGAAAGATGATGTCATGTTGTAGAGTTAACCATCAGGACGATGGTTGGCTCTATTTTATTGTTCCAGTGGGTTTTTACTATTTAGACCAAATTACAAAAGTCACCCCCTTTTAATTGCCTTAATTGACTGTGTTTAACAAACAAGCTTACCTTGGAATTTTAATGTACTATTACACATTTAACAAGCTTCCAAAGCCCTCTATGGGGCCTCTGCGGTTTGTCAGCTGATCAAATAGAACAAGCAAACTTCTTGTAAAATCAAACACTCTGAATGAATAAGAATCAATACCAGTTTGAACTCAACAAAACCATTAAAGCATTAAAGACCCTTTTACATGTTTTCAGACTTTTTTAACATGACAATTTTGCACTGGGATTTTCTCTGAAAGATAGTTTCCACAATCCAGTGTATAATCTACAGCGCCTGGGCTTCATAAAGAGTCCAGACATGTGTTATTTCTCCAAATGGTTCACTTCACATTGATGCAGCTCGGCCGAAGTACGACATCTCTAAGGAACATCCTTATAAATGAATTCAAAGTAAAGAGAACTCCTCCATGCCACATTTTCGCACAGACCGTCCTGCTTCAGTCCACACTCTATGGTCCACACTTTATGCGCAGCTCGCACAGACTTTGGTCTCCTCCTCTTTTTCCTGACACCATTCTTTTAGTTGGATTTGTATGTGTCCGAGTTTCGCTACAGTACACAGCCTTTACCATGGCATAGCCCAGTGCACAAATATGTCAGATGATCTGAGAGGCTTTTGGACCTAACTCTTTGAACTTTGACAACTTCCATTTGCTCTGATCAACATTCCTCACTGATGCGCTCCTCCCTCTTCACCCAAAAGTAAAGAGGCCTTGATTTGGCAAGTCTTAAAACAGTTTTTTTGTAAACCTAAGTGACATAATTTCCTAGTAGTAACTGTGATTATAGAGCTGGTGCAAGAACAATAATTTACCTGTGTCTTGTGACTCATGTCAAAGCACAAGACTGGATTGCAGCTGTGCATCTGACTGGTGTTTAAGCTTATTTTGCATCTTGTTTACTTTGATCATAATTGGAAAACAAGTTTAGACATGGCCAGTGAGTCATCAGAGGTAGATCCTTACATTTTCTGCACTGAAACGTTACCCAGTGATGCCCGCTACCTCCCCCCTCTGGCCAATGGGCTGCTGGGGTGGAAGGTGTACAGTAATATCATGCACATGGGGGGCATTTATAATGGGGAGGGGGGCCGCTGTCACAGAGCAGACCTGCCCTGTCCCCTGGCTGTCAAGATGGACACAGTGGAACCTGGAAAACACTCCTACTGCCTGGACACGAATACAGGTAATGTTTTTTGTTTTTTCAGAGCAAGTCTCCCAATGCATCATTATTATTATCAGTATTATTATCAGTATTATTATGCTATCTTAGTAGGCACATGCATGAGTGAGTTTGCCCTGTTTGAGTGATAAACTGGTTTAGTTTAGCCTTGGCACGGCAAGGCAGGTTTACTTGTATAGCACGGTTCATACACAAGAACATGAAGAACAAAATCACACAAGGCATAAAAATCATAATCACAGGACATTAAAAAGAGTGAAGACGCAATCCTTCTGTTGTATACACAGCTAAAACAGATCTGTTTTTAACCTGGATTTGAAGTAGAAGCCTGTCTCACATTTTCAGGAAGACTTCCAGATTTTAGCGGCGTAAATCTGAAAGGCTGCCTCCTCATGTTAAACGAATGACGAAAGCTTCATGTTGTCCTGTTGCTCGTCCTGTAACTCTCTTGATCTCTCTCTTCCAGGTGTTTTCAGCCACAGCCTGAGCACGTCCAAAGTGACTGCTACACAATCTCTGTATTCTCACCGTTCCTACAGTCAGCTGATGGTGATGGAGATCTCGCTGGTGCGTCAGGGCCCAGAGGAGGAGCCCATCACAGTGGATCTGCTCACCAACTTCAAGCCCCTGAGCAAAGACATCCTTTTTGAGACTGGACCAGATTATAAAAGTGGCCGGTATGTATGAAGATCACCGTGTGTTGACCATGTTACTTGGAAATTGATATTCCTCTGCACCTCACGTCCAAATGTGTTTGTTTTTTTCCAATGATAGACCATATTTATAAGCTTTCAGAGCTTCTTGTCCATTGGTCAGTGTCAGAGAGAACACACACAATACAATCTATCTGTAATACTATATGAAGTTGTGAAAATAGTTGAAATTGGATATAGAAAAGATTTTTACTATCATGAAAATGCAACTTGTAAATGAAATTTGTACTAAGGTGTGGTACAACCAGGCTAGTTTAGCCTCAGATTTATTCAAATTTACCATTACTCAATTTTAATAAGTGCTAAAACTGGTGAATATAACTTGAAATACAGAAACGTTTGTTGAAAGGCTAATGGTAACTGTGGTCAACAGTGTGTTGCTATGGTTACGAGCGCTTGCTATGCTTCTCTACCCCATGAAAAAAAAAAAGATAATTTCATAAAATAATGACTTAGAAATAAACTACATAAAGCAACAGAAAAAGTCACTAAATTATGAAGATTAAAAATGTACATGAGCTGAGTAATCACACTTCCAAAACTAAAAGCTGTCAAATTGACTGCTCTGGGAGTTCTGGTGTTAACAAGCCTCATTATTTGTCTTAGGCACATCTATGGACATACAACAGCAGCGGAGTATCCTGGGGGCATCTGTCCCTCTGTGCACCTTATTTGGACTGACATACCTCTGACGTTGGCCCTCGCTGCGGGACAAAGCCAGGCTCGCTGGGGCTTCATCCTGGTCGCGGCAGACAGCCTCCAAAACGCTCAAAACAACTATGACAAGGGCCTGTCTTTAATAGCGGGGGGAAGTCTGCGCTCATCTCACGAACAGGCCTGGAAGGAAGTGTGGTTACATAGCAAGATAGACTTAGTGGGCTCTGAGATTCTGAGCAAAGCCCTGATTGGCTGCATGTTCTACCTCCTGAGTGCGTTTCCGTCTATAAACGACACAAGCGGCACCTTTGGGGGGGTCAGTCCTGGTGGTCTGTCCAATGGGGGGGATGGGCAGGACTACTGGGGCCATGTTTTCTGGGATCAGGTAAGATACAGTATAGTCACACCTTACTCCAAAAAAGTGAATCTGTTTGAGACGCTATAATGTAACTCTATAGACCCCGGACCCAAGTTGTTAATTTGAGTCTGTTGAAACACGAGTCAATACTCAATGAAGGCTTGTAATAATGTGCGCTACCCTTGGTGCTTCCTTGACATGTTATATTCAATTTAATTCAACTTGTATTATAGACTCTAGATCCAATTTAATTAAAACTACACTCCGCTCAATTATAATTTCCCTGCATGTGACTAAATGTATTTTGTATGGTGTGGTGCGACCAGGCCCCTTGCTCAATGAAGCCCAATAGGGAAGTGATCAAGCATGAAGTATTGCTCCAATTGACTTGCATTTAAAAATAAACTATAGCCCAGGAATCGTTTGTGTCACACTCACCATTTTTAGCTTAGAAAATTGGTGGTTTCGCGCTCTCTGTGATCCTGGTGTTTATATTGGGCGTGGAGTTAACGTCGTGGAAGAAATGCCCATACAAGGAAATTGAATCCAGCTTGCTTATGTTCAAATCAGCTTCTTTCGCATTCGGCTAACTCTCTACAGTCCATTGTGATTATTCAGGTCATTGATGCTATTTGTATGATAATTAAGCGAGGAAAGGCTGCAGGTTATTGAATGTTGTTGAAAATATCAGGCCCACTGATTGGTCGTAGGTTTTATTTATTTATTATATTTTTTATTGTATTTCAAGAATACATACAGTCCCTCCCACAATATCCCCTATTGGAGAGAGATAGCCTGACATTAAACACAAAATACATTTATAGCAAAAAACCCTCAATAATACTCATTTTTACCATAGGACATTTGGATGTACCCTGGCATTGCCCTCTTCTACCCCAAACTAGCCAGATCTGTGCTTGAGTACAGAGTGCGGACCATAGATGGCGCTAGAGACAATGCACAAAGACAAGGCTACAAGGTATGACAACCTCTAGGATCAGTGTTGAGCAAGGAACTCTATTATATAATTGTAATATAGTTATATTATTTGTTACTAGAATAAGAAATGTAATATATTTGTGACTATTATTAAACAAATTGCATGAATGTGGTTCCAAGTTTTGTTTCAAATACTGCTCTGTTTATGTCCCGTGGAAATTGTAATGAAGTATTCTGGATCAAATGTGCACTTCATGAAATGCACATTTGTTTCAAAGCAAATGTCTACTGTTAAATTAGTCTGCATTTAGCTTGAGTTGACAAACACACAAAGACTCAATCTTTAATAAGAGTACATGTCTGGTACAGGGACTGAAGTTTCCATGGGAGAGTGCTGTGTCCGGCCGAGAGGTCTGCCCTGAGGACATTTATGGACAGCAGGAGATTCACATCAACGGGGACGTCTCCCTGGCTTTTCAGCATTATCTCTATCTGACTGAGGTGCAAATGCTTTTTCGTATTCATGAGTTTTCCCTCAGTAGCTCAGGGGCGACAGCGGCTCAGTTGGTGGAGCATTGGCCTTTGGGCCTGAGGATCGTAGGTTCAAATTCACCATAGGACCTACTTCACAACTCCCACTGATGACTGCTGTCGTTGTGTCCTTGGGCAAGACACTTAATCCCACTTTGCCTGAAGCCCCCACTGAAAGATCTCAGCTCATGTGGACTCACCACCTGCAGGAGGATCAGTGAGGGGCTGGTGCTCTGTGAACTGGGTGCAGTTCTGGCTGCCACCCCCCCGACCCAGAAATGGATTAAGGGGAAGAGGATGGATGGATGGATGGATGGAGTTTTCCCTCATTATGTTTTGACTGTTCAAAATATATTATATATAGTGTAGTTGATTGCTTGGCCATTGTTGCATTGTTTTTTATTCCATGTATTGACCACAATATGTTAACAAAAGTCTTTTCTTTGTTCTAGGATATTTCCATGTTCACTGAGGGTCAGGGCAGTCAAGTCGTTTGGGGTGTGGCAGATTATTGGGTCTCGAGAGCTACATGGAACCCGGAGGATCACAAGTATCACCTTTTAGGTAGAATTACACTATCGCACTTACAGAGATATATTGTAAAACTGGAAATTGTGTTTTCTATGTTCCAGGAGTTATGCCACCCGATGAATATTACTACAATGTCAACAACTCAGTGTACACAAACATAGTGGCCAAATTAAGGTGATGGATTAAAAAAAAAAAAACATATAATTTATACTACTGACAAATTGTATTTGTTACATTCAGTCTGGAGTTTGCGATTGAATTAGCAGACCTACTAGATAGACCTGCACCAAAAGAATGGAAAGAAGTTTCTGAAAACTTAAAAATACCTTTTGATGAAGATAATAAATACCACCCTGAATATGATGGCTACACAAAAGGTATTATCTTTGATAAGATCGTTGTCAAAATACATGATTAATCATAGTGCTTTACTGCAGGCTCCCCTGTGAAGCAGGCAGATACTGTTATGCTTGGTTATCCTCTTGGATACCCTATGTCTACCGAGGTCAGAAGAAACGACCTTCTTGCGTATGAATCTGTTACCGACCCAAATGGTCCAGCTATGACATGGGTAAATCAATCATTCAAAGTATACAGTATTTTCACCATTGCATGTAATATATTATTACAGCAGATTTTTTACATAATGACATGGTTATATTTTGCAGAGTATGTTTGCAATAGGCTGGCTTGAACTTGGAGAGGCGGCACAGGCTCAGCATCTTCTTGCAAAGTGCTTCAATAACATCCAGGCTCCATTTCAGGTTGATTTAGGTTCATTACAGGCATGTTTCAAAGTCCCAATAACCATGGTACTATTCCCGCTTAGGTATGGAGTGAATCATCTGACGGCTCTGGCGCAGTCAACTTTCTCACTGGAATGGGAGGCTTTCTTCAAGCTGTGCTTTTTGGTTATACAGGGTTCAGGTTTGTTTTTACATCATGGGCTGTGTACACATGATGGTACAACTAAACCTTTTTGTAATTAGAGTTCAAAAGGCATGTCTTTTCTTCAATCCACTTCTGCCAAATGATATTTCGGAGCTGAGCATTCGTGGAGTGAACTACCTTGGTAATCAGCTTGATTGGATGCTGAGGAAAGAGGAAATCTCTATCATTTTAAGAGGAAGCCAATGTTCTGAAAAAAATCATCTCCAAGTTATCCTGAAGGAGTCTGGATCTAAATTCCCTCTCACTCCAGGTGTTCAAAATTAAATTTTACAAATGTAATTGTGTTTCCCTAAGACTAATAATATTTTACTGTTTCCTTTCAGGTCAACCTGTGACATTTTCAAGAGAGCCTGGCTACATTTGTAAAATAAATACAAATGTATCTTGTTGGCCATTCTGAAAACTATTCAACTTTCATCACTAGCTGAATTCCCAGTGCCGTCCATCAGCTTTCAAAGGATTTCTCTCTAGTATAACTCATATACTTAAGACATTTTTGCTTATATTCATCAATATTATGTGAAGAGCTTTTCCTAACGGGTCGGTATACTTTATCCCAGAGGGGGAGGGGATGGATTTGATATGTCGTGCAGTACTACTTAGTTTTTACGTCAGTATATATATAGGGGTGGGAGTGGCGGGGGGGGGCGGTCTCTGTGTGGGGGGGGAGGAAAATAGGGGGGGGGGGGGGGCGTGGACTCGTTGCTTGGTCTCCGTCTGGGGGGTGTGTGCTTGGCGTTTCTTGGATGACCGGGGGGGAGGGACGCGCGCACTATTGCCACAGGGTGATTGGGTGAATTTATATTAGCCTGGGGTCCTGGTATATGAAGTTAATCGCGGTTCGGTGTATAGGCACTATCTATTATCTCTAAAGACGGGGGTCTTAATGAATTTTCTGGGTATGGACGTAGAGTGAGTAAGTGAGGGCAAAAAAAATTTATGGGGGGCTCCACGCCACTCGCGTGCTGGCCAGGGGCAAATCATGCGCACTGAACTCCTGGGGGGGCCTGTCGGGTGTATAAAATCTATAAAGGATTTGGTAATCAAAATAAATTCCCTTGCTTAACGTTGTAGCATTTGGTCTTCCAATTGTGGGATATCGATTATGTTATGTGTAAGCATATTCTAATTAATTTAGGCCAATTAATCTATTTCCTGTGACTATATCCACTATATTAATGTATGTGCAATCTTATGTTTAAGACAAACAAAATATAGGGGGGGGTATTTGATCATATTAAAAATTATATACATACTTATCCGCTTGGTTGGGCGCCAACAAGTGGGGGGTGGTGGACATCTGCGGGTATGTACATCCTCGCGTGCGTTTGAGGTTGGGGTTTGTGTGTAATACAGGGGGGTATACTAACGACAATAAACGGGTATTACTCAGTGGGGGGGATGATTATTGATCAGCCTAGTGTTGTATACGGTCATTATTCACTGCAGCACGGGTACTTGAGATGGCTAGATCATGTGTCTGGTTATCAGTTGAAAACAAATACGGCGCCATCTTTGTTTGTGGTGTATGTGGCGGGCCAGGGATACCTCATTGGCTCTTCTTCTGTCCTGCTTCTGTCTGTTGTTGGGGCGGGGGACATCCATAAAAAAATGGAGGAGTACAGGGGGGGGGGGCCTCCTACTGGTACTGGGGTGGGTGGGGACCATGGGAAGACATGACTAGTTCTGCAGTTGCATTGACAGCGTTCAGTCCGGTGGGGGGTATGAAATGGGGGATTAGACGTGTGGCGGGATGTTGACAGAAGGGTTGGAATCTAGCCTATGGTCTTTATAGGAAATGGGCGGGGGTGTTCTTGGGGCAACAGCGAGGGGGGACATGCAAGACTCGGTGCTCGCTATATTTATTCACTGGGCAAGACTGCTACTGTCTCGGGTTCTGGGAGGGGGTAATAACAGGGGAGTGGCTGGGGGGGGGGGCATTGGAGGGGGGGATGGGGGGCGGGGGGCGGGGGGGGGGAGCCTCTGCTGCCCTATTCTCCAGTATGGTGGGGGTTTTAGCCTGTGGGTCCGTTCCGCTAACCGTGGGGATAAATGGGGGATTCCTCTTTACGGTGTACCTGGCCCATCTTCATGGGGCCTTCTGGAAACGCTGGGATTCCTATAAAGAATGGTCGCCTGGTATCTCTGGTTGTCCCTGCTCGCTTCCAGATGCGTCATGAGGTTTAGTGTTCAGCTGGCTGTCCCCTCTTATAGTTGACGTTTGGATAATTTGAGGTGAATATGGTCCGATCTTAGGCTTGCTAGTAGGAGTGGATATCCCCTGCCGCATCACCCGCTTCGCCTACGTGGAGCGGAGAGGATAATCGCCAACCTTGGTCTCACAAGTGTCTGGGGTTGACCCGGGCCAGGAGGGTAGATAAGGGCCGTATATAGGTGGACCATCCGCTCGACTGCCCAAGGGGTGGTAGAATATTAATAATGGGGGGGCGGGCGTTCGGTTGCAAGTTCATGGGTATATCTATGTTGGACACAAAGTTTGCTAGCTCTGCAGGCGGAGAAAGTGGGGGGGGGAGCGGGGAAGGGTGGAGGTGGGGTCTCCTCGATCGAGCGGTACACTAGCGGTCGCGTGTAGGATACACACTAGTGGGGAGGGGTGTGGGTGTATTATTGTGTACACAACAACAAATGATGATGCCATACTCTTTAGGAGGTGCCCATAATGGTGGCGGGGGGGGTGTGGAGGGCAAAAATATATCAATGTGGCGACACTGTGGGGGGGGGGGGGCTGGGGGGGGGGGAGGGTGGGGGGGGGGTGGGTCTGGTATTATAGTTGGGGGAGAGATGGGGGGGGGCGGGGGAGGGTAAACTTATCGATCTAATAGTATGATTTTTCTTTAGGGGACGTGATGTGAGTAAAATGGGGGGGTATTAGGGTGAATGGGGGGTTGTGTTTGGTTGTAAAACAAGAGGAAGGAGGGTGGGGGGGGGGGGGTTATGATTAAGGGTAGGGGATATAGGAGGAGGGGGGTGGGGGGGAAGTGGGACGAGTCGTGGGGGGAGGGGGTGGGTTTGAAGGATTTAGGGGGGGGGAAGGGGCGGGCTGAGAGGTGAGGAAGAGTATATGTGGGGTGTTTTTATTAAAAATTTTAATTTGTTTGGGGAGGGGCATGAGAGTGGGGGTGGTGAGGGCCGGGTGCTGGTGAGTGGTGTATGGGTATCGGTACGAGGAGGTATGGAGGGGGGTAGGGGTTGATGGTGTTAGGGGAGGGGTGTGTGGTTGGGGGGGGAAGGCGTCAGTCCTGGTTTGCGTTTGGAAGGATGGGGGTGGGTGGGGGGGTATATAGTTCGCGAGCTTCTAATTCTTCGGTGTGGGTAATTTTGTGTGGGGATCATTTAGTAAGTACTTAAGTATGTTTGGACGGGACTTGGCGGTAGTCGAGCCAATTGTGTAGCCTAGGAACCGGGTATCGAGGTTAGTATTGGGGGCGGTAAATGCGCGCAGTCTGTTTTACGATCGGGTTTTTGGGAGCGTCGGTTCTGTTTAAGTTCGTTTGGGGGGATGTTTATCGCAGGTGTTGAAGGGATGACGCTAGGTGGGACCGGAGGTTTCCGGGGGGGTAGGGATGGTTTTAGCTCACAGCCCTATTCAGTGCAGTCTCTTTAGCTACCTGGTAGGGTGGACAAGAGGTGGGGTTGGGAATACTATCGCTTTGTATGGGGGCGGGTTTCATGATTTGCACGACTGTGGCTACATGATACAGGGTTGGCTTTATTGGGGGGTTTTTGATTACAGGTTATGGGGGGGGTGTTGGTTGAGAGGGTTTGGG